ATTCCATGGTGCGCTCTGGCTCTTGCCCCCGATGTGTGATCGTTTATCCGTTATGAGCTCGCAGCTTTTCGCTAGAACATTTTCTTTGGATGTATCCCGCTCAGTCAAACGGAGTTCCTTTTGGCCCACCGTTTTCACCGTTCTAAACAGCGCACAACTGGTCCCGATGCGATCAGAAACAATAGAGCCAAATCCCCTTCCAAGCAGAAAACTCACAGATGCACGCATGGCAAGGAAGACAGTCTCGGGGGTACTTCGCAACGGCGAACCGCTGTTTCCGTCGCCATGGTGGCCGCGTTGGATGAGGAAGTTGGGACGGTTGGTGGAGACTGCTCGCCGCTGGCAGTTCTTTTGAGACATTTGCAACATGGGACGATCAGTACGCGATGAGGACGTGCGCACCAACACGGACGCCAGGAGTTCACGCAGCAAGGCTAACTGGTATCCAGGAGCAAGCCAGCCGGCTATGAATTGCTCCCGCGAAAGTGAGTCTGCCAATGGAGAGAAAGTCTAGATGCTGCAGAAAAACTGAGGCAAAGGGGAGCTGCCCAGAGTTCCAGGAAAAATCTCAGACTTCAGGAGGACATAACGACCAGGTTCCTGTCGCTATCCTGCAGCTCTTGAACTAATGAGGCGTGTGATGAAATGTAAGCAGAACGTAAGCGGTATCAATTAACCAACACACGCAAAGCTTAATCGCTCATGCGTATAGTTGACCGGGTGTGCAGCGAGCACGTAAGGGAAGTGGTCAGCCGCGCACGGACAAGCCTTGCTGAACTTTGTGACTATTCTGAGCGAAATCTCGTGTATAAGCTTCGTCCGTAAGCTCTTAGAAGGGGGAAAAGGGGAAACCAGCTCCTATCTACGCACCCGCGGTCTTCGGAATTTTGCCACGAGGTGTTCGCTCAGTATACGATGCGGGAGGTGAGTCTTGGGCTCTCCCACTCACCCCCGCAACATCCCTATGCCTCCGATGTCAGCATCGGATCCGGTAAGCACGCGGAGGAATAGCCGCTTCTGCGGTAGTCTGTCAAAGACATACGGATAAGTGCAGTCTGTTCCCATCGTCATCGATGGCAAACCGTACTTACGATGGCCCATTCTGTATGGCGTGTGGCCCGGGCACCCGCTCTCGTAATCCTCGGCAGAGGCATGTGGAGACTGCCGCGACTGGTCCGTAGAGAAGTCGAGTTATGTTGAGTTGCTCCGTGGGCGCTGTTGTTCTCTGTCGGGTTTCATGGTCTCAAAGCGTTCCCCGGGTCAACTCCAGGAGTTGTGCGGTTAAGGCCACTGTGACCTTCGAGGCCAGGACCGGCCTCCCTGTGGACGGAAAGCCTAGTCTTTTAGGAATGCCCCTTTTCTCGGGGCCTCTCCTCGGCAGACTTTTAAAAGCTAGTCCAAAGCTATTGGCCGCTATTAGCTTCAAGATGCGTCAGACTCCGGCGGCTGTGGTAGCGGTGCTTGAGTAGTCGGAGCTCTGGGACCCTGTATGTTTTACGGTAAGCTCTGACCAGCGGAGCCATGGCCTAAATTAAATATATGATGAGCAATTCTCAGCACAAACTGGCCGGAGACTTGTATGGATAGGCGAACCGCTGTGCATTGCTATCAGTGTATACTCCTGGGGCGCTTTAGCGAAAATATCGGAAGAATGTTCGGGACATTTCCGTAGTCAGGATCCACTTCTCCGTGAAGGCGGTGTAGGCGCACCCAGCGGCCACGGCGCATCTTGCCTAGTTGGAGGCTGAGCGCGTTGCTGGGGCGCTGGCGGGGACCCTGCGAAGACTGTAGCGAGATGGCGGATGTGAGAAGGAGATGGAGATGGAGAGATGTATTCTTGTGAAATTCTAAAGGCAAAGTTCAGAGGGATGCCCTGTACCCTTCCATCGAGCACTCGCCTGAGGGCAACTCGGAGAACCCGAACGTTCCGGCAGCTTGGTGCGCCTGAACTCTATCACAGACGCGCGTCTACCCAACGCTGGACACCACTCGCACCTCCCGACCTGCCTTTCGCACCAGCCTCTCGCGCTGCAAAGGCCTCTCTCGCTCCGAACCGAGCCTCGAGGCGTGCTTGAGGTACATCGGTGTCTATCGTGCACAGAAATCTCAAGGTAAGTATACACCATCTGCTCGAGTCATAGGCTCACCGGCGGTCACATAAGCACCCCTTATGGTCGTCTGCGGACACCTGGCCTCCAAAGCTATCTTTCCGAGGGCCATATGCTGCTGTTCTATATGGGAACCTTACCCCACTCTGCCCCGTAGTAAACTTTAACTCACGAGTGACACCGATGTCCTCGGTCGCTGCCAGCCGCACTCATCCGCGCGGCCGCCTCTGGCGCTCAGACTGTACTCCTAGCGTCATTAGCTGAGTAGCAGCCCCTCTACGATGAGTGTGCTTTACCTGTATGGCTATATGGGCGGACCCGGTCATATGCCAGCCGCCCTGCAACTCCACAAATGGCCTTCCAGAACGTTCGACTCGTGCAGCACATACGGCGACTTGCACACTCTACGCGGAGCGTCTGAGAGCATAATGCGATCTTACACGGGCTTTGGGTGCGCCCGCACGGGACAGCCGCCCAGGACACAATTAACCATGCACCGGAAAGGGTAGACAGCTTACACGCGCAGCCACGCAAGCTGCAAGGTCGCCGCGGTAGAAGACTCCTTCGACTCCTTCGATGGTCATAGGATCGGTCCGCTGTCCACGCTCGAGACATGCTCAGCGCTCACACCTTCTGTGGCGCGTTTATCCCGGCTTGAATCGCTCTATAGGAAGGTAGCTGGGACTATCCAGGTATGCCTTTCCTCCGCCTCCGGAGGTTGGGAACCGCACATCGAGCGGCATCTAGGCTTCAGATTAAGTAGGCTTTCCGCGTATCTCCCCTGGATCGCAGTACGTACGCGGTGCGTATCCGCAAAATTGGTCCGTGTAGTCGCCCTTTGCGGCTACTCTTCGTGCCTGTCGCTTTGTGCATCTGTTGGCTGTGTGCTGACAGAACCTTCTGCTGTGGTACGGGGGTTCGCCGAGCCCTCAGGTACCGATGTACTTACCAGATTACACCGGCTGATTGCCCAGACCTCCAGTGACGGTGCGGCACGATATCGCGATGTCTGGGCGACGTCCCGCGATGCCCCAGAGTCGAGTTCGCATGATCCGTTCTGCTTTGTCTTCGTTCATTAAACTGCACTGCCATCAGGGCAGAGAGTCCTCGCTCTGGAAGGTGTTGTTGTAAAGGGGGAGCAGGCAGGTCAGGTGGCTGTTATCTCTCCAATGCCAGACTCCATGTGTAAGAGCACGCAGAGTCTGGAGCAATTTCCCCAGCGGGAATTGGGTAAGACGGACCGCGTCACAAGACATAGAAAATCAATAGCCGGCGAGTGGTCTATGGTGCGGGTAGAACCCGTCTAGCGGGCTATGGTGTTTCTGGACCGCTATGGACGGTGACGCTAGCGGATCGCTTGGACTTGAGCCGTGGGTTCTGCGAGTGTCGTCTGATGGCGCCTCGAGGCCGCCACGATAAAATTCGAGGGTCTCCGAAACCAGGGGAGGAGCGGCGGGATGCATGGCGCACAATTGTTCAGGTTGTCTCGTCTGCTGAGGCTTATATCAAGCATAGAGAGGTCGAAATCCAGCGCAGCCAATCTTTTACTTGTGCCTGAAGACGTCGTTCAACTGCGAGAGACGGTGCGGCGATGCCCGGTTCGCCGCACAAAATAAAAGGCAGGCCAGCCATCGCGATTGGTTCGTGAGCAATAGAAGGGCGGCCCTCGTCACACTCAAATGACGGGCGACCACCATTGGGAAGTAGGTTCCAAGCCGGCCAAGAGGTCGCACACCTCGACCATTCTTGGGTCCGGGGCCGAAACGGGAGAAATTGCGAGCAAAAAGCGGGTGCGTGGGATTTGGACGGATTGCACCTTGAATGAGCGCGCGGAAAGAGCCGGATATGCTCCCAAATTGGGCACAGTTGGGACTTGTTTGCTCGTGGATAGAAATACGACTGAGGGGCGAGGCTATTCTATCACACTGCTCACTTCGTGCTCTCGTCCCCCGCCTCTCTCTCCACGGCTTGGCTCGCTCCTGTGCTCTCTTTTACGACCATCCACGAACTTGCGACGACGTTTTCCGGTTCCGATTCCTCTTCATCTCACCTGCTCGCATCCCTGGTCCTGAGCTCACCGTTCCGCGCAACACATACAGTACCTTATACGACAGCTTCTTTGGTGCGTAGCCCCCTCGGAGAAGCGGGCGCAACGACATTCTGATGTCCTCCTTGCAGTCTTACCAGTACTCGTTTATCCTTAACTAAGGTTCGTGTTCGTCACCCCGCTTTTGTCACAAGCATAGCTAAGTGTCGGGCCGTGGATCAGAATGGATAGCTGGCGGGTCGCCGTGCTGGGTGATGGTGGCGTCGGAAAGACGGCGTTGGCAGTTCAGGTGAGCAAGCTCGTGGGCCTGCCGTTCTTTTGTCGCTCATTGGTTCGTCCAGTTCACCTTGAATTGCTTTGTTGGTAAGTCTCGCTTCCGTTTGTCCAGTGTTTTTGTCGCTCACGTCTTGCCCTTGTGATCCAGAGGTACGCGACATGCGTGTTTATCTTATTCGCCTCAATGAGGACTCAAGATGTTGTATAGACGTATGACCCGACGATTGAAGACGCCTATCGGAAACAACTGGTTGTGGACAACCGCATGTGTTTCGTAGAGGTTATCGACACTGCTGGTCAAGGTGCGTGTTTCCCAATAGCTGGCATGGTGCAATACTGACGATACGCTCCAGAGGAATACGCTACGCTCCGAGACCAGTGGGTTCGGTACGGTGCTTGTTAAACCCCTCTTTCCTCTTACTGACAGCGCGGAACAGTGAGGGGCAAGGATTCATCCTCGTCTACTCGATAGCATCACGAGCAACCTTCGACCGCCTGGAAGTCTTCCGACAGGCAATGATGAAGGTTAAGAAATCTAAACCTGTGTTCATGCTTGTCGGCAACAAGTGCGACAAGCAGTACGAGCGGGAGGTCTCCCGCGAGGAAGGAGCGCAGCTGGCGCGTACGTTTGGCTGCGAATTCCTCGAGACATCTGCCAAAACTGCGTATAACGTGGAGCGGCTATTCACCACTCTTGTCCGCCTGCTGCGGCAAACGAGACAAAACGACCAGATTACACCAGGGCCTTCGAGACCAGCGGAAGGCGGGAAAGACAGGACGAAGCCAAAGAAATGCATCATCATGTGAGGTGGCCGTTCTGGACTCTATAGATTTGTCAAGCTGTTCCTCCCACTTACCTCTTTTTCCATGATACCCCATCGCATCCATTTGTTTCTTTCTACTTCAATTTGGGCATTCCTGGCTGTGCTGATTGGGAGGATCACTGGCACTACTTCACGATTTCTGAAGTTACTGCGACACGTCTACGTTCATCATGTACATATATTCACACTCACTTCTCACATGCACGGATACTGCTGCTCTCTCATTCACGTACATGCATGTAGCTGACGTGTACATACTGTCGTGCAATTTCTCGTTCGCTGCGGACTCCGCTGGCTCGTCGCAGCCCTTGCGCTCCCCTGCGCGTCACGCTACGGCGATCGCACTTTTGTGGCATCTACATCACGGTCTATATGTCAGGTACACGTGTACCTTGCTACGGACGATCTTCGAGAATGTTTTATAGCGACGTCGCGGGAGGTCTTGGACCGGAGTTGCAGTGATAGGCATACTCACAGTATTGTTAGCCTTCGTCACCGCCGCAAGATGACTGCCTCATCACTGGGGTTCCATTGTGAGCGACCAGATTTCATGGTACACTCGATACCGGACGGCGACGAATTTCGCGTTCAAAAAAAATGTCTCACAGAAGGCAGCGAGGTCTTTCGTACGTCCTTTGCACTCTCATAAAGAGTCCGCGGACTTCTCTGAAATTTACAGGTGACATGTTCCGGTGCTGCGACGCTGGAAGCGGTGTGCTCGAACTGCACGAATCGGCATCCTCGCTAGCCCTGCTGTTCCAGCTGCTGCACAGCACGCCCGAGCCTTACGTACCTGCTGACGGGGCGGACGCTGCCAAGTCTGACGACTACGTGCACATCAAACAGAACATTCCTGCGCGCGCAATACCCTTCCCGCTACTGCCGTCGCTCTTCGCGCTGGCGGATAAATATGCCGTTACGCCGGCGATTATGCAGGTGTGCACTTCGCACCTCGCGGCGTACGCGTCGACATACCCACTCAGGGTGTACGGCATGGCCGTGGGCATGGGTTCCGATGTGATCGCGGCCAAGACGAGCAAATATTTGCTGCATCCGCCCCTGACATCGTACTCGACCAGCGAAATCAAGTGCATTCCGACCGCGGAGGCGTACCACAGGCTCGCACTCTTGCACGAACATCGTATCAAAAGACTCCGAGAAATGCTGATTGATGAAAAGATCTTCCCCCAGGGTTACGGCGAGTGCAAAAAGCACACGCAACGGACCAAGACACTCTGGGGGGTCAAACAGGCCATGGTTTCCGGTCAAATTGCGGCTGGTAAGACTTGTCCAGGCCGTGCGTGTATTCCACAAGTTTCTGAGACATGCACTCGTAGCTACGGACGTGGCCGGTGAGATGATGGTTGACCTCGACCAGTTGTCCGGTTGTACCACATGCTTCAAGGCGTGGGTCGCTGCGACCGACATGCTCGGAGTTAGTCTGCGCACTCTTACACAGTCCGAAGCCGATACTAATCCATTTGCGCTCTAGTACAAATGCTCCAAGGTACCCAGACGCATCGACAAGCTCCCCACCAGCACAGAGCGGCAGGTCTAAAGACGTGTTCCTCCGCGCCGTCTACTTATTGTGCCAGAAGAGCGTCCGAAGATTATTCCACCGGTCCGAGTCGCGATAGAGATAGATCATGGACTTGTGCATCCCTGCTTGTAATGTCTCTTCATGCTCTTGGAACAACCACATTACGGCACCCCAGGAGAGAGCGGCAAATATCGAGAAGTATTTCGGGTCGGGGTGTAGTGGCGTGACTTTTCCAGAAGGCGGGGGATGCGCCTTCGAAATGTCTCTCGGCATGGTAGATGCAACCACTCGCGAGCAGACGTATAGGACAATCTAGATTATTTGTATATGAGAAACATGCGTAGTTATCATATGTAGTGCGACGTGCCTGCTCATTGATAGCGGTGCGGTCCCCGAATACGAAGTAACCACCCACGAGACCGGCAATAAACGGATCTAGCGGGTGTTCGTTGCCTTTATGTGCCCTCTTCTGCAGAATCATCGTGGTCTTGTACAGCGAGACGAACTTGGCGAGGTTCATGGCGTGCGTTATTGTCGCCGAGAGCACATTCTTGACTTTGGTCCGCCAACTGGAAGAAATTGTGCCAATCGTTCTCGGGCGAATAGAATTCGTGACTTACTCAGCCCTGCTGAACAGCAGAGTCATAACCAAAGCATGGGGGAATCGAACCTTCGCCCCATACACGAGCCCGTTCCGTGCGCCCTTCAGGATGGCCCAGTAGTCATGGTACGCCGGATCGGTTATGATCTTGTGGATTACAGCCAGCAGTGCCTGCACGTTCTCGCGTACAAGACGCAAGATTAGAGTCCGGAGGGACCTGAGCGGCGGCATGGAGGAGAGATGCGAGAGGCGGCAGCGGTAGCAAGCCGGGTCGAGCGCAAGTTCGAGACACGGGCGATATAAGCGCACTGAGGTGGCGTACAATCACATGCGAACGCGAGTAATTACAGTATGGGACATATATTCCGTATGACGTTATGCAAGCAGAGTAAAAACAGGGTAACTGCATAATACGAAATCTCGCGAACTACGGCTTGCCGAAGTATTCATCTCTGAAGTTAAAGTCCTCAGCGATAGACACGAACTCGATCTGCGAAGACAGTTAGCGAAAGTAGCCTGATGCATAAGGGGAAAGACGTACCCCGTTCTCTTGGGGCAGTTCATTGCGCGTCTCGGTAAACATCACGAACCTGCGGTAGTTGTCCATCATGACAGGCTCAAGCTGCATCCATAATATGTCCTGGATGAGCTCTTGGTCAATAACAGAAACCAAGTCCTTGTCGAGCAACTTCGGATGCTTCTCATTGAATAGTCGCAGGCTTTCCTCCATAATACCCGTGGCGTCCAGATCACAAAGGTTGAGCATCCATTCGGCCCACTGCAGCCCAGGATCGACCATGACTGAAATGTCATCCTTAGCTGTCCGCGGCTGGCGGGATTGAGGTGGTGCTTCCAGAAGAGATATCTTGCCATCTGTGATGAGGTCCAGCAACGGCCTGTAAAAAAAGTCGTTCCTGGAAGATTGTGAGCTATCAAATCACTAACAAGAGCAGCCAGCAACTTACTGCCTAAGCAGTGATATAACATCGCTGCCAGGGTAACTAATCTTTGCAACCGCAGCGATGACAGAGGGATGTATATAGCAGGTCCAGAGCGGGTGTTCATCGAACTGCTCAATGAGCTCGTAGACCTTGAAAGGGTCTTGAAGAATAGCTTTCGCAGAGAATGTAGCTACGCCACCTAAGAAAAATTTGTTAGTCTCATGACACGTCAGCGACAACTCACGATAAACACACACCAACAGGGTATATCTCCCTTACGCCCCAGCGACCCGGCGGGACAGACGCATGTGTTCCATATGAATAGAATCGCAGCTCAGGCCGCTTGTATCGCCGAAGGGCCAGCGCCTGAAGCTTATGCAGCTCATGTAGCGACCCAACATGGACAAAGACAACTCTGGTGTCCTCTTTATACCCCGCCCTCTCTGCGTTCCACTCATCCAAAATAGCCACCAGAAGCCTCGTCTCAAACCCAAGGTCCGTTGGGCTGCCATCTGATGGGTAGTGCCAGATGCAGTATTTCCGGACTCCGCGTGTGAAGAAGTCGTAGTCTGCTGCGTTGAAATGGTGTAAACGTAGACCTTGCGCCAGCTGAGGGTTGGCGGTGAGCTTCTTGCTGAGGTCCGAGATCTTGCTACCCAACTCGAGCGAGATATGGCCGTCATCTAAGTTGAGCCGCCCATGAGCTGCCTGCCACTCGTACTTCTGATACTGTTCAACGGTGAGCTTCCACGGGATAAGGACAGCAATTAGTGCATGCTGGCGAAGTTGCTCGGGCACTTTGAGTGCTTTGCAGATGTTGTGCGACGCAGTCGGGACGAGGAGCAGTACGCCAACCTGATTGTTGTCCATGTGTACACGGGCGTATGTGAACTGGGGTTATTGTCAACACAGCTTACTTACAAGCACGGATGAAGCTTACCTGACGGCGCCGACTCAAGTACGTAGCGAAGGCATTGAAGGTTGCCTCGTCTTCGATTGCCCTATGCGACACCTTGCAGTGCTGCTGGATAGGTGCACATGCACGCAGCAGCAAGTACACATCCGTGATATCGTGGAGCTTTTCGAGCCGTAGTGTCGAAATTTCCGCTGTGCAACAAAGATTTAGTCGTATGCCACCTGGTCGAGGCTCAGTGGGTTCTGAGAGAGAGATGTTGCATAGTCTAGCTGCCGGTATAGCTCGATTCCGGGCCGTCTCCATGTACAGCTCGCCTCCCCATTGCCATTTTTTTGGTATGCGGGTCCTATCACCAATAAATTCGCGAATTTCGGGAGACATTGAGTAGAGGGAACTAACTGAGGTAAGTCGGGTTTTTTCGTAACCGGGGGTGGGGCTGCAGGAGCGTCCACGTCCATTTCATTGCCAGTCGGTTCACTATGGTTATTGTCAGCTGGATAACGGACGAGAAGCAATACGACCCGTCACTCACGGCATCGGAGCAGCCAGTCTATGCAAATAGATGAATATGAATAGCGAGGGCTTCTGAAAATGAGTGTCGACTTACTGCTCAGGCATAATAGAGGCCAAGAAGTTTTCCGCTGCCTTCTTCTGCTGCTCTTGGGGTGATGGCTGCCGACGCGCCATGGCTGCTTTCCGGCTGGATGTCCATTAGGTATATGACAGTGGCCATGTGACGCGAGTTACCTACGGATCGGGAGGGCGGTCCACAGGCACGGAATTCGCTGCATTGGAGTTTTGCTGAGGCGCAGTCCAATCAGCAGAGCCCGAACCGACAGTGTTTCCCCAGCCTCCCGTAACAGGCGATTGACCACGACCCCATCCCGCACCAGCGCCCCATCCACCAGTAGGAGCAGGGGACTGTTCGCGACCCCACCCTCCGCCAACCTCGGCCACAGGTGATTCCACAGTTTGCGGCTCTTGGGGTCCCGATGGGAACCATCCAGTCGCGGCGGGCCTTCTCGGGTCTTGCGACGGCCCTGCTTGTGATACAACGGGTGATGTGGGCGACGTCCGCTGAATGGAACCCGACACAGATTTGTTCTTTTTAAAACTGAGATTCTTGAGAGGGTCTTTCTTCGTGTTTGCCTGACCTGCCGGCGGTTGCGGAGTAGGCCCGGGCGCAGAAGCCGACTTTGCAACAGTACCCGTTCGTTCAGCCAGACGTCTCTTCGTCTCCGTGAAGTTCGCAGCGTCGCTTCCCATCGGGAGCGTCATGAGTTTTACTTTCGGCTCTCGATTCTTGTGGTTAGGAGCTGCCGATTTCGGCGGGAGAGGAACGTTGTTGGCCGCGCTGGTGGGGGCAGTTGGTGTAGGCTCTGAGAGCTTCTTTTCCACGGTCATTGCTGGTGAAGATGGTTCCGAGAATAACGGATCATGCTCCGGCGTACTGGGCCGCGGTCTTGCAGGTTCTTTCCCCTTGCTCTGGAAATAGTTAGTGTTAAAAGGAACACGGGTACGATTCTGCAAGCTTACAGGTTTCGTCGCACTTATACTGTCCTGTTTGGTCTATACGCCCTTAAACTTGAGAAACATCAAACTTGAGCACGAGGACTCACTGCCTTAGGTTTAGAGACGCTAAACTTTCGTGGAGCCTTACGCAAAGGCTTATCTGAGTCTTCCGAGCTTGACTGTACAAGTTGTTGATGATACCGAAGTCTGACATTCTATTGCAACTCACAGCTGAATCTGATTGATACTGTCGACCTCGCTTGGAGGAACTAGCTTTCGAAGTGACAGGTACATCATCCTCAGAATCCTACATATTGTCAATAAATCTTTCTTTGTGAAGACATATTTCACAAACCGATGATTCAGAGTTCTCTATTGTCGGTTTCTTCAGAGTAGTCTTTCCTTTAGCCTGCAGAGCATCAACTTACAAGCGGGAGTGGCAAGCAGCATAGAAGACACACATTCTTTCTCATAATCGCCTTGCCAATCACTGACTTCTGAGTCCCAGACCCTTGTCGTTTCTTTTTCTTGCGGATGACTTCCTCCGGCTCACCGAAATGCGCATGAAAGAACTCCTTCTCCTTCTCTGATAAGGCGCGATCAGCATAGTGTATAGTGTATCAACGACCACATTCACCTATCCATTCTGGTTCAGCTTCGAAGACGCACCCTTCCTCGTAGTCATTGTCATCTGTGCCAACGTGCTTCCAGAAGCTCTTAAGGAGCCGATCGCAGCCTTCGACGTTTTCAGAAGGTTCCCAGCTGTATTTCTTGTATAAAAGAGTTGTGTGTGTTATGTTTCACACTTACCTGTCGGCTTCGGGACCGTACCCCGCCCACTATGCATGGAGCCGAGTTGATAAGACTGTGAACGCCATCCAGCGCAAGGTACCCACCCTGACATAGTAATCCTGTAAGCAGTAGGATAAGAAGCGCATCCTTCTCTTACGGTAACACATAAACTCACCCAGTCGCCGGCGCTGTTCACCTTGGCCTTCGTGATAACCTCTGGATCGAAACTGCTTTAGTAGACGGATCAGGGTGGCAAGTAGGTCGTGGCAGCGTACCGACATGAAACTGCTCCTCGTCGTCTTCTTGGAATTTCTTCTTCTTCGCCATGATTGTAGGGTGAGATTAAGGGTGATATGTCTGCCGTGAATATCTATTCCACTGTGGCGAAGGTCGCGGCTCGCAAGAGCTGTGCCGCGCGAGAGCCAAATACTGCGTGGCGTTCACGTGCCTGTGCTGGCATATGGCGCTTTCGTGGTCCGGCTAACGAGAGCAGTTCTGGGGTTTGTCCACCTTCTCCCACGTCTCTCTGCACCTCGTCGTCTTACAAGACGAATCCGCACGCTCAACCTTAGACAATGGCCAGTAAACCCAAGTCAAAGCAGGAGGAGGCCCTGGCGTTCCTTGACGACCTCGATAACATACCCCCTCCGCCTCCCAGCTCCAGCGGCGCGCAGAATGCACAACCTCCCTCTGAAGGCGAAGCGGAGGTGTACGCCTTCATCGACGAAATCACGCAGAAGAGCTCAGAGCCCCCGCGTTCCACCCTCTTGCACGCCGATCGGCCGTCGCGTGCAGGCACTCCTACTCTGCGCAAGAGCACCGAGCGCGTGAGAGTCGGTGCATCCTCGCCGCTCTTGCCAACTGCTTCGAGCTCTACAACTCCTCTTTCCGCCACGCCCCTTGTTCGGACGGAATCGAACAATTCGCGTGTCTCGCTTACTTCCGCTGTGAAGCAGGAATCGGGTCAGGCGACACCACCCCTCGCACCGCAGTCTCAGCTGCTAGCGAGCTCGTCCAGCGGCTGGGGATGGAACAGCGTCTGGTCGACAGCGTCTTCCGCTATTCAACAAGCCAGGACTGTGGTCGACGAACAGGTCAAGAACCTTCCCAAGAATGAACAGGCACGTAAATGGGGAGAAGGTGTCCTAGAGTATGCGAAGGCCGCGCAGCTGGACAAACTCGGTACGCAACCATTCCCATAATCCAGAACTTAGCTTGAGGCTTATAAAATGTTACGCTAGGCAAGGACTTCAAGCGAGTGGGTCTATCGACTCTCACTGACATCCTGAATGTTGTCGCACCTCCGATCTCGGAGCACGAAGTCATCCAAGTCTGGCTCAGTCACGATATGATCGGGTATGATGGCGTCGAGTCCCTTGTGTACAGAGCCCTGACAAGGGTTAGTAACTCTTCCACTGCATCAAGTGTTCGCGCGCGTCCTCATCTACTGACGCTCCTCTAGATTATGGAACAAGTCGAGGGTGGTGACCTGGTGGTCAACCGAGGAGACGAGTCTCGACCCAAGTCAGGCTCGCCAGAGAAGCGCGAGACAAATGCGGTCGACGGCCTTGATGCTGCTATCAAGCTGGCACAGGTACACTCGCAATCCAATACTACACTGGACCAGTCTGATATTTACACCCTCCAGGCCGAGCTGAATGAAGTGATCAAGCGCAACGTGCAGCCTCCGTCAACAACTAACCCAGCTCAGAATCCTACCACGTATTCATACGTGTACCTGCGCATCCAGCCCTTCAGGACATCACTATCCCTCCCGTCACAATCAGAATTAGAGGCCGAGAGCATTTCGCAGACGACCCTGCAGTTCCTTCTTTACCTTGCCGACCCTGTTCACCAAGTCGTACACTCCACCATCACACAAGCGATACCGAACAAATGGCTCGATATCTGGGACGAGTATGAGTGGGTCGAGGATTCGGTTGTAGAGGCCATCAGGGTAGGCGTGGAAGTCATTGGACAAGAGTACGTCGTCTCGCGGATGGGTTGGGACCAGAAGAAGACGGAGGATACCAAGGTAGAGGCGGAGCTCGCCACTGCAGTCGAAACAAAGGCTCAGTGAAATCGATCAATGCAAACCTGGCTCGCCGCGCGGTGTTTAAGAGGGGAACATTGGGTGAATGTACCATTATTTGTTCGAGCACAGCTCGGATCTGGAAAGAGATAATATTATGGTGCATTGCTACACATCTACTTCTTCTCAGCAGGTGGGGGAGGCGGTAGCGGGACGTGTTTGAACTCGTCAGGCCTTTTGGGAGTGGTACCATCGCCGACCTGCTCCCACGGAGAGAGGGCATCGAAGTTCCTGCAAAACATATGTTTAGCATAACCTGGCAGGTGAAGAGGGAGAAGCCGAACCTGAATGCCTGGGTAAGCTGGAGAGGCTCATAAACGACACGCTTGCGCTCCTCGTCATATCGAACCTCAGTGTAGCCCTGAATAAAAGTTGGCAAACTATCGGCAGAGGCGTACAGACAAGACTCACAGTCAGCGGGAAGTCCTTGCGTAAGGGATGACCCTCGAAGCCATAATCCGTCAAAATGCGACGACTAGAAAAATTGCTCAGTTAACCATAGTTCAGCAACAAAGCAATTGGCGACGTACAGGTCGGGATGGCCTTCAAAGTAGACACCAAACAAATCCCAGACTTCACGTTCATACCTATCCGCCATTCAGTTCCACGCGTAACTACGCTATAAACTGCTAACATACCAATCGGCACCACGATAGAGAGACGCAGCAGTCGGAACTGCATCAACCTCGCTGGCATAAGTCTTAACACGGATACGTCCTCCATGCCTGACACTGAGCAAGTTGTAGACGACCTCGAACCGCTTGTCGCGCTCTGGAAAGTCGACAGCGGTGATGTCCATGACACTCTTGAACTGGCCTTGTGAGTGGTCGCGGAGGAAGGTGAGCACGGGGACGATGCCTGACGGCGGGGTGTAGAGCGTGAGCTCGTCCTTAAGAACAGAGAACTGCTGGATGAACTTGGGCAGGCACTGGAGGAGGTACGCCCCGAATTCGTGCAGAGCCTTGGTCGTCTCGGCATGCCGCACGATCGTCGGGTTGGGCGACGTCGGCTCGGTAAATGGCGACTCGGACGGTGCTGGCACGTATGGGATGTGGGCTGCAGCGGTGCATGTAAAGCGCAACTTCACTCACCCTGGGTGGACGGTGAGGCGTGGAAGCGGCGAGCGACGCAGGCAGTACCGATCGCTGCCTGGCGTACGGGCAGCTGCCTGACGAGTCTGCCTGTTCTGAGGGCCAGACGGAGAGACATAGCGTTGCGAACAGTGGATGGTAGAGCGGCGAGAGCGTCTCGGCGAGACACGAGTTTGGCACTCCGACGCCTTGCGAACAAGCGCCGCGGCGGCAACCACTCAATACTCAGCGTTCATACCACCACCGCACACAGGGATGTCCAGTGAAAATGGGCCAGTGACGGCCGTCATTGACTCGCTGCCATACTACGATAATGACCTCGAGCGGGACCCCAGCCTCAAGGAGCGGGCAGAGAAGCTCATCCAGAAGGAGTTGGGGAAGGAAGTGCAGAGCTTGCATCCTCGCGTGCCGCCACCACCGACTCTCTTTGCTGTTCGTGCGCATGTTCCACATTGCTTATATGTGCTGATGTCTATAATCTGCTCTCACAGAATAGCCCTCTGCTACAGCAAGAAATGGCCCGTGTTGAGACACATCAGCCTATGCCGCAAATAGACACGTTCCGCTACCAGTTGCCCGGACCAACAAACACGCCTGCTACTGAGGAGGACTGGGAAGCTGCTCTGAAGAACGCTCAAGCACAATTGGAACACCAACGGTTGCGGTGCGCGCAATGTCCGCCAATTTTATGTGGCTGTCACTGACCCCGCCCCAGGCACATGAACTTTGCCCTTCTACAGCAGTATGGCTCGAATGCGTGGCGGATACACAACTTCCTGCTGGAACAGACCGCGAAGAACCTGGAGAAGGCCGTGGAAGACCTCAAACAGTTAACAGTTGAGGTAAACCGGGAACGGAAGAACTTTCAGGTGCGCTCATCTATCAACGCCTATTGCTGTGGGGAACTGCCGCTGATGTGCGGTTTTGCCAATTAGACTGGCGTTGGCACACAACTTAACACCCTGGAGACTCGCTGGACCGAGCTCATCTCGAGCGTCTTGCAGATCGAGATGGCCAATGTCGCGCTCGAAGGAGAGATCGACAGGCTCAACAAGCGGGAGGTCGAGCTATCCAACCTGTAAAACACTGGACGCTTGTCGCGGGCTGTATTATCGTTATTATACTTTTCACTCTGCGTATAATCACCTGGATCGCGTTTTGCTGATGAAATCTTCCGGAGATTGATTGCAGTGAAACGGTGTAAGCTACACGAATTGTAGGTACCGTGCTACGAAATGAAAGAGGGTCCTGCTACTTAATCGCTAATTAGGCATGACATAAGGAGAAAAAAGAAATCTATGGAGCTTCCAGATTGGAGAAAAGTCTTTCCAGGCCTGCGACAAAGTCTATAGTCTGGTTGCAATGCATTCCAGGTGCTGTGTACCTGTAAGTGGCTCCAGGCCTTGTTCGCTGCATTTAAGACCCTTCAATTGAAGCAATTCGCATACGCATCCGGTGGCAGGGCACAGGGCCAGGAGCCCGCGGCGATGACACCCTCCCAGACCTGCTCGCAAGACCTGAAGAGGTCGAGCGCGGCGCGGGCGTGTTCGACCTATTCACGGTTCGTAAGATCAGCGAACAAGCCCTGCCGCGAAAGGGAGATGGATCGCATACGGGGATGTCGCCATGGAGACCGATGTTTCTGCCCATGAAGCTGTTCACGAGAGTCACAAGCGGGACCTGGACGTTGGGCCTGTAGCGCAGGCTGCGCCGGAAGGGAAGGAAGAGCGCGATGTCGCGCGTGTCGATGGCGGGGTGCGAGAGTCCCATGACCTTGCACCGCGTAGTTGAGTGCGTTGCGACAGCTAGCATGGACCAGGCCACTCACCGACAGGAACTCCCACAGAGCGTACCCAACGAGAATTTTGCCGCGGAGCATCATTGCCACCCTTTGTTGGACTTCAGGAAAGGGCGGCGCTGGCAGAGGGCGTTGAGCCAAGGTCCGTGGGGCGACGGTGAGCGACTTACCTCCGGCAAGATGGCCAGCGGTCAAGCCTGTCTCGGCTGTGCGATAGTCGCTCACTGGCTGGCTATGTGCGTGCTCTGTGGTAAGGCTGCCGGTGATATATGGAATTCAGGTTGAATGCACTGACGTTGGGCGGACATAGGTGTCGTAGAGGATAAATCCGCGATAGTCGGCCAAAGTAACACGCCTACAAAGTGGGTATATGCGTCAAAACTCCGTGACAGACGGCGTCAAGGGTGCATGCGCTTACGCCACCATAGGCAGCCTGGAGATACCGTGGAAGACGGTCTGAACGGCGCCGGCGATGTACCTGGAGCCAGCCGCGACGGTGAGCATGGGGAGCACAACAAGCAGTGGGGCACAGTGCTGACCTTTCCGGTGGATAGACCTTAGTGGGCCGCCACTGTGGCATCTCGTGCTGGGTCTGCGGCGCCTTCTGGCCAGGGACAGAGGCCATGGCGAGGCCCCTTACCGGGATGAGGTCTTTGAAGAGTTGTGGGTCGTTCCACTCCATGTCTTGTGCGGCGGGTCCTTGCTGGAAGGCTTGCGAGGGGACTGCATAAATGCTGAAGTGGCTCATCGGGTCCAATTAGGATATGTCATTTAGGGTAGCCCCAAGTGGGGGTAGATAAATGGACGGGGACTTGACGGCAGAGTAAGTGTCGGATTCATCATGATACATGATACCCCTTCAAGCAGATTCGCCTGTGCCGTATCCTGCGTCTCGCTTTGCCTCGCGGCGACGTAGAAACCGGGGCTAAGGAAAGCGCCGTTCTAGCTTTGCTCGACGTGAACAACGCTTGGAGACAATGAGCCGGTACACCCGTCCTGATGGACAGATGTGAGCTTGACGCCTCTGGCCGTGCGCATACAGCCACAAAGCTTGCGATCTGCGGGAATGAGGGATGTAAGCAAGACCGCGGGTCGTGTGCAGGTGCGGGGTCAAGGAGGCTACCGCCGGTAGATCTGTGAGGTGTCACCGGAGCCGTCGACGATAGAGGGAGTGGGCGAGGTGCTGTGGTCAACACAGAGATGCGCAAACATTGCATTAGCGCAGACGTGGATGGGATATCAGTTCGTCTCGGCGGTGCTCCGAGTGGCCAGTAGCATGCCTCCGAGCCCGTTCCGGGCTGATTGACATGCTCTTCCGCGTCCGATCAAACCTACTGCGAAACCCTGCAGGCTGTGGGCGTAAGATGGCAAGGACACTAGATGACAACTATAAATGACAATCGCCCAAGTAACGCAGTCCACTGCCTCCAATACCTCAACGCCCGCTCGTCGTACACGCAACAGAATTTCATAGGAGACACAGCCCAACGTAGCTGCGAACAGCACATGCGTGGTAAATCCTCGCAAGCGACAGAAGTCGTTTGATATAGTGGTGATAAACAAGTCTATGTGACAAGCACGAGTACCGCCGGCATTGCGAACAAAACATACCACCACCTCGGCAGTCCAGCTCGGCCGCGGACCATGGCACGTCTCGCAGAATCGGCACCAGCACCGCTTGTCGATCTAGGTGGGGTTATACCGAAGCAGGGACAACCGCCGAGGCTCACATCAGCCGTTCCTGGGGTGCCTCACCAGAAGCATCCGCAGCCGGCGGTACTGGACCACCTGTCAGCGCATCACCTTCCTTCCTTGCGACGTTGACCTGTTCAAAACTCCCCATACCGTTCAAGCCCCAGCGTGCCATCATAGTCTTATCTTCGTCCCATGGTGAACCTGCATTAATCAATTCGGCGTCAGCGACATTGTCCCAAGGCATACGAGAGCAATTAATCAGTGCGTTACGTACAGGGCGTAGTCAACATCTGCTCGCCGGTGAAGACCGCATTTGCACCGGCCATGAAACACATCGCCTGCATTGACTCATCAAGCGTCTGACGACCGGCAGCGAGACGGATAATAGTGCTAGGCAGGACGATACGCGCAGTGGCAATGGTGCGCAGCAGGGTGTGCCAGGGCACGGGCTGTGTTTTCCTATTAGTCTTGCAAGCCCGGTGACATCTATTCAGAACCACTGACTTCATTATTCTCTAAGGGCGTGCCTGGGATCGGCACTAGGGCGTTGACAGGGAAGGACTCGGGGTGTTCTGGCATGCTGTCCATCCGTCAGAACCTAGGACTGTCATGGGAGCTTTCGGCGTACATACTTCGACACCTCCCAGATGAGGCCGATGCGGTCATCGTTGGATTCGCCAAGACCCAAAATACCGCCGGAGCACACGCTAATCCCCGCGTCGCGGACGGCGGATATCGTATCCAGGCGTTCATCATATGAGCGAGTAGTGATGACCTGACCAGAACAGTCAACCTTGAAGGAGGTAGACATATAATTGTACTCACGGAGGGGTAGAATTCCCGCGAGGTATCTAGGTTATGGTTGTAGGCCGTCAACCCGCTGCGAGGCACGATCAGCGTCCGAGGGCTGTGGGGACATAGATTTGCGTACGCTTCCTTAAGCTGCCGTGCCTGATCGGGGGACAGCATACCCAAGGTCGTGCAGACCTCCATTCCCATCGCCCGGACCTCGCTCACCATGGTGAGGATGCGCGCGAATCCACTTTTCCGGCCGGCGAGATCGCGCCAAGCGGCGCCCATGCAGAAGCGCGTGCTGCCGTTCTCCTTGGCCTTGCGTGCCGCCTCGAGCACCGGTTCGATGTCAACCAGGCGCTGCGCTTTCGTCGGGGTCGAGTAGCGTGATGATTGAGAGCAGTATGAGCCTGGGAGAGATCTGAGTCCCGCACCCCACTAAGGCCGTGACCGCGAGACAGATCACCTACAGTCCTCGGTACATCCGCCAGCTGATCCGCCCTCGCCGATGAGTCTCCTGGACAAATTAACGGCAAAGTGAGATGGTACGCACTCTTGATGTTCATGAGTGTACAAAGCTGGATCTTCGTAGGATCATGGTACTGCCTGTGCACCGAAGCCGCGCGGAACACGAGATCGAGCAGGGGGCTGTCGTATATCACCTTGATCTCAGGCTTTGACCAATCATGTCGTGTCTTCAACTGAGGTTTTGAGGCGTCCTGGATGACCACTGTAGCGAGTCCCCTGCTGAGACGCACTGCACGTAGAGTTGATGGCCCTGCACGAAACATGGTGAAGATCAAGACGATTCTCTTTTGACTGCTTTTATCGACGTGAAGACTTTATGAGAGAGCGTGTGCGGAGGTCGCGGGGATGGAGGTGGACTTTGAACGGCGTTCCCCAGCGAGAGCAGCTTTCGCCCGACGTGCACAAGATCTGTCGGGGAAACTAGTTGGGGAAGGTGATGCCCTGTTCGATGCCATGCTGCCTAAACAATAGGCGCCCATAAACCCAGGTCGTCTACAAGAGCGCCCGCCCTCGTGGCGGCTCTTCACGTCCCTGACCGCAACCACTCGCACTCTTGAAATGCAAATGTTGCTCGGACGGCCTCTGCAAACAGGTCGGGTAACCAGATAGCTACAAGAGGCAGTAATTTTGACTGCCGTATGGCGGGACACGTCTTTTCTTGAACGATGGTTATTAATTGACCCTGTTGATCGTGCCCGCTTCAAGGGCTTTGGTCATAGACAGCTGTGGCCGTCACGGTAACAGTCATGGACCGCTCTGTGAATCGAGCTAGAGCTCCCAAATGCTGAGAAGGTCGGACACTGAGCCGTGCGCGAACCCGACAGGTACGTGAGGTACCAACAGTGCCTGAACATTTGACGGAATCATAGCCTGTCGATCCGCAAGGCGACCCCGCTGAGCGGATCGGTTGTTGTCGCCGCTGTGCGCAAAACAGACGTTTACTAGGCTATGTTGGCTGAGTAATGCTGTCTATCCATATCTGTCAGTTTCCAACTACGCATTCACACGTCAGGGAGCGCAGCACGCTATCGTAAAGTCGTCACTTGCCAGTGATAGCGGCTGTCCGTTCACGACGCTCCACCTCAGTGCGGGAGGCTGGGCTACTAATGTATGATTCTGATTCGCCTTATTCAGAACCACGTCAACTGACAGCAGTGTGTTCAAAGGTACCCACGGGGGAAAAGAGGGGACACTTTAAGTCTAATGAAAGCCTCGGAGCTTTCACGGCCCTGAGTGCAAGCATGCTGGTCATTGGCCAGGACAGACGATCGTAATTTTCCCTCACTTCCCGACGCGCTGATGAGAGCTCGAGATAGGGTGCCGTTTGACCCCCGGGTGGCGCGGGGCGGCGTCTTGCCTTACCCAAGCCTTATTCTCGACGGGTGTTGAGACCTTGCCTGCCACACCCTCCGCCTCTGCTTCGGTATTAAATCAGGCTTTCCACTGGGCAGATGAGCAAGCTGGCTGACTAGCCGCGTTCCAGAAAATGACGCATGGGGTCGTGTTTTACCATGCAGGCCCCACCGCGTATACACCTCATATCTCACCCTGAGCGGATGAACGAATGCGCAGCATGGCGACGAATGTGCATCACTGGGATTAGAAGCTACCGACGATAATTGCGGCTCGCGGCGAGTAGTGCTCGCTTGCAGGTTCTTGCACTTTCCATCAGGAAACGATGTCGTCATGCAGGCCGCTGAGTCCATCCTGCAACGGCGTGGGAGCGGCCCCACCTGCTCGCGCCAACGCGTCATAGCCGAGCTTCTAAGTTTCATACGGTGCGCACACAAGGTAGGACACTCAAAAAACCCAATAGTATTCCAAACATGCATCTCTAGCATGTCTCGACGTCAACACGCGTCATCGGAGTAGGTGGCAATGTACGTGACAACGAGAGGCGAATGTTCCCGGAGAGAAAAATGCTAGGTATTAAGACATATACAAGCGGTCCGGCGTTCGTACGTTGGTTGTATGGCATATTATAAGAGGGAGAAAGGGAGTCGTCGATGCCATAGCAAAATGCTTGTGGAGAGGTGCATCCCAGCAGGTGCGACGCAGAGCCGTGTAGCCGTAATATCCGCGTATATGGCAACTGTCTTGGGGGGAGACAAGACGTCAGTGCTGTCTGCGCGCAGACGTCACTCGCGAAGAGTTGCCCACCTTTACTGAGCAGTCAGTGCTCGGTTTTCATGTAAAATTTTTCCTCCACGCCTGTGCGAGCGATGTGCGTAGTCGCGAGACTGTATCCCTAATACATGAATCGTCCATAATCTTTCTTTCTTGCCTGGGGGAGGGATTCTAACCTTGGGAGCCGCGACTGCTAGCTGATTGCGAGTCCGTCGACGAGTGCGCGGACGGCGCGCCGTTGGACTGGACGCCGTTTTGTCTTGACTGGTTGAGTTCGAGTGAGCGGCGAGCCATGTCCCACTGCCTGCGCGTGTAGGCGGCGAGTTCGCTCGAGTACCGTTGCTTCTCAGCGTCGACGTCGTGGTGGTGGCTTGAGGTCATGATCATTGAGGAGTGGGGGGTGAGGGAGGAGATGCTGAGACGTAGTTTGGAGGAGGAGCTGAGGCCGAGCTAAGGCTTTATAGGTCCGCGCCAATATCGAGGTCTGAGCGAACCCACCCGCGCCTCCTGCTCCCACCATTCACTGGCTTCGGCGGCCAGGAGTGGAATATGACGACATGCCCTTCTATACGAGGCAACTGCAGTATTCCCCTCGATCAACGCCACAAACTTTCGGTCAATTCCGCGAAGACAACTGGTACCTCATTCTCGACCTCCCTCGCCTTATCTTGCGCCCGGTGCGCCCCAAACCTGGCCCTAGCTTCGGGTTGATCTCTCCAAACACACTCCGTCTAACTCCGGTTGTGAAACAACAGCGTCTAGAGCCAAATCCAACTTCGTTGTCAGGTACCTATATATGCGACGAAACACAAGAGAGCAGATGCGTTGCTACATGTACAGTTAGGAAAGCGAAAAAAAATAAAAACGAAACTCCTGAACAGAATGATTACTATGGATTACAGATGCCTATGCTTTGTCAGAACCAAATGTCCCGTGATCTACACAAAATTAAATGCTACATGATGGACCCATGAAAGCGAGCGTAAGGTGACCAAATTGAAACGGCTGTAAGTTAGGGAGCGTGGAGACTTCTCGCCATGAGGTAGGTCGTTTCTGGGTCGTGAAGGTCCATGGGTGGGCCATCGAGGACTCGCTTCATGCGCGAATGGAGCGCCAGGTCTCCGCCGTGGAGCCGTTGGCTTTGCGCTGGGCGGCGGACGCGGCGAGGCCGGACAGCTTCGCGTTCGGCTTGGACGCCGCGCCAAGCATGACGCCCCCGGTCAGCACGGTCGTCTTGCCCCCGTCATAGTTCGTGACCTCGGTCCTGGTCTTGTCGATGTAGACGCGCGACTGGCGCGCACGCTCACGGCGGGAGAGCTTCAACCCCGACTTCGAGTCGGGTGAGGTGGAGCAGTGGGAGACAGTCGTGGTGGAACCGTATGAGTCAGTGGAGCCGTAAGAGGAGAATGAGAAGGCGGAGCTTGATGAGCATGAACTCGAACGCGAGTGCGACGAAGACGCGGACATGATGGACACAGGTGAGGAGGAAGTGGAACGAGGAGGTGGGATTGCGGGGAACTCGCTTGAGGTCGGAGTAATCCAGGTAGGTTCACGAACCTCGTCCGCGATCATCGCAAACAACTCGTCATCGTCATCGGCCTCGCAGATGATCTGCTGAGCAAGAGTCTTGCCAGCGACAGCCAGGGCACGGGCCTGAGCCTGAGCCTTGAGCTGAACCTGCAAAGCCTCCTCCGAGACACCCTTGCGCTTCACCTCGACAACCTTCTCCCTCCAGATCGTGAAGACCTTGCCATGCTCGCAGTGAGCGTAGTGGATGGAGACGTTACCCGGGTCAATGAACAGGTCGAACTCGAGGCCACCCAAGGTAGCGATCCATTTCGACCAGTCAATACCTGCGGACTTGCAGGCGTTGTAGATAGAGCGAGGGGGAGCGCAGGCGGGTGACAGAGTGAGGCAGCGACGACCAGAGCCCTTAACAGGGTCGTGAGGAGCCCACGAAGACTGGAACTGGGCAGTAAGGTTCTGGTCGAGTGCAAGCTGGAGCTTGATAATAGTCGTGGCGGGGTAGACAGTGATGAGGTGGCGAGTGAGCCAAGTGATGGCTTGCGCAAGGGCGACGGAGAGAGTGCCAAAGGTGGTGGTGGAAGCAGCCATGCTGATCGTGTGAAGATTAAAGAATGTTGTTGGGGTTATAGAGTAATAGGCGAGCTGATGCGAAGATATATCGGCCTGCGATAGATATGCGGAGTGTGGCGACGCGCTAAACGTAAGGGCGTGTGATGGAGCGTGCGGTAATGCGAGAGGCAGCGAAGGGCGAGGATGTGCAGATCGTAAACAAACAATCTAGGCGAGGTATGTCAGATGCATCCGCAACCGCCGACACGAGGTCACACTCACCTAACAAGAGCTGGCTTGGAATAACCGTAACCGAGACAGAGAAGTGACTGCAGGAACTCAATTCCGGTGAGTGGGGAGACGGAGACGGAACCAGAGAGTACTTATAAACATGTCCTAAGCACTATGGGCGTTTGCGTAAGACAATGAACGGGACCCAGCCCTTAGGACGTCTCCAGGTGAAAACAAAAGAGTCTGGCACAATGGCCGCCTACGACGCCAGACTTGCCTAAACGGGACAATACCCCTGGGCGGAAGCCACGCGGTAGACGCTTCCCTGCGGTCGTTGCCAGCCCCGCCTCCCGCCAAAGCAGAACAATAACAATTGCGCTTGTGAACCGCACTCGGCGCGCATTGTTTTGCGTGTTCAAGACGACAATAACACCGTCTGCCGACACGGAATGAAGAATGATGAGTGTCTGACACACTCACAGTTAACGTCAATTGTTACTGGCTTTGAAACGACCCTTTACTCATACAACACCCTGCCAAGCATCCGTCAACCTAGAGAACTACGGTGCTCCTTCCCATTCCGAATAAAACGGAGATCCATCCTTCAGTCAGTTCACTCAGATGCGGATTCGTCTGAGCACCGCCGGCCAATGCTGCTTCTTCTCCCCGTGCAAACTCCGTGATTTTGCTTGCGATACGCTTCATAGGCGAAGCCAGAGAGATTGGAGTAAAGTGAGGCGGGACTTCTACGATGATTCGGGCTTTACAGCTGCGCGAGTGACATCTAGCAGATGGTCGTTCAGCGTGCTCACTGAGTAAACTGAACCCGGCTGCGATGGTCTTTCGCGAGTCAAGAGTCTACGGTGCCGTCGTATCGGAAGTTGCCGAGCAATGAAAACTCCGCTGAGCAAGGGGCCAGGATTGCTCCCTGATTCCCTCGCGCGACCACCAGGGCCTTAGCCTCGTCGAAAAGAGCTCAGTCGTTCGCTTCAAAGGCTCACCAAAGTTCGCTTTCCGCACAGTCGAACCTACCTTCACAAAAAATGGTGTGTGTTTTCCCGAGCCCTTGAAGGGACATTCGGCGGTCGCTTACAGTTTCGCAATCCACAGACTCTCGCCGTCGATCTCCTTAACCCCTCTGCTGGTGCTGAGGCCCGAAGACACAAGCTCAAACGTTTGGTGCAGTCGCCCAATTCTTACTTCATGGACGTCAAGTGCCCAGGTGCGCGTTCCTCGGCGTGCTCGCCACAGAACTTTCTTCTGATATTATTTGTCAGGCTGCTTCGCGATCACCACCGTCTTCTCACACGCGCAAACCGTCGTCCTCTGCGGTGCCTGCACAAGTGTGCTCTGCCAGCCGACTGGTGGTAAGGCGAGATTGACTGAGGGTGAGTGGTAAGCGCGTTTTCGCCGTGCTCACACGACTGAGTGTCTCGCCTCGTTTCAGGAAGCTCATACCGTCGGAAGAACTAAATTATTCTACCACGACGCATGTACTCTCTTTGTAATTGCATATCTTGCTGTGCATCGGCATTCCATGTTCCGCCATCTCGCATGCATGGATATCTCTGACCCACCATAGAGCTGAAGCCTTGTCCCTTTCATTAAACCTTATGTATGTATATCCTGAACTCTAAAGTTGTGGCCGCGGAGAAGAACCAAGAGTCTTTGTCCGCCTGCAGCGCCCCCAAGAGTGTTGCCATCGCGCCGTCCAACAAACGTCATGAGGTTTTCAAAGCGGCCCGAATTAAGACAGTATCTATATTGGATAGTATGTAAGTATTCAGCAGCTTAAAGCTTCGGCTTCGAAGGCTTAGAAGGGTCTCGGATATCAGCTCGAACTACTCCCTCCTGCGTCATTACAGCAACCAGCTTCCCCTCCCGAGTGTACATCTGCAAGATTGACCTGGTTAATAAGATTTGTTATTCCTATGGAAATACATACCCGTCCATGGGCAACACCTCGGCCTGAGCATACACTAGGGGAATGAATCTTCACGGGTAAATTAGCAAATTGACTGTGTTGCACAGCGGGCGTGCTTACGACGTAGAGCAGCCAGTTACCACAGTCGAAATCGTCACTGCAAGTGTGTTGGCGAGATCTGTGCATCATCAGTCACGGGAGGTAGCTCACTTGTAGAAAAATATAGAATGGTCCAGCGATGACTAAGGGACATAAATTAGCAGGAAGTCGACTGTGCATCGGACACCATACCATCATCCCTAGCTTCTGACGACCGGATTTAAGCGAATCCAAACCCGCGGTGCTTCGCGCAGCTCCGATGCTATAGAAATCTTGAGTCGCGTGCCCGTTAGGGATGACAGAGTTACTGACAAGTGGGAATCCGAGATGTAGCTCAGAATGCACTACATTCAGTTCGTTAGCAGCTGGGAGAGATGCACATCCGCCAGTTTCACACCTTCTGGAAGGCTTTACCGCATTGCGGCATTCCATTGACCTTGAACCAGTACAGCCAGTACGTAGGACCATCGTCTGAGGAACGAACACCAGCTCTCTTGATACTCAAGAAGCTTTGACGGCGTTCCTGCAGGGATTCGTCAGTTCGGCACACCTAATAGGCAGGCTGAACCAGGACACTCACATCGACGTATGACTGAAGATAATTCCTCACTCCAGGACGCAAATCCGGGGCCTTTAGAAGACGTTCATTGTGCTCGTACACGAACTCGCACTGGTCAGGACTGGGCACGTCCGGCGGAGGGGGCTGCTGCGCGACGACTTGCCATGGCTCCGGCCGCTGGAAAGAGCAGAGCATGATGAAGATGGTCTTCCCATTTTGCTGTGCCCTAACTGCACGGGTGGCATAAGAGCGGCCCTCCCGGACTCGGTCTACATGGTAAAGGATGGGAGTGGGAGCCGCACTCAGGAGGAAGTAGCACTGGCGATCTCAATGAGCGATTGGGTCCGGATAGTAGGTGGTATGTTTGCTCACATGAAAAGACTACACGTATGCGAGTGCTTAGCATGACTTATGCACATCGCGGCCAAGCACGTCAAGGACGTACATGAAGTGCGTATTCCGGAGCGACACAGTTCCCGGCAGCGACCAGAGCTTGGGAGATGACCTGCCCGCCGAACACACCTCTGGCGCGACGAGGGACCCATAAGTGCTTCGAACGATACAAGTTCACGTCCAGCCGCTCGACCTCGAGTGCATCCGAGGGATTCGAACTTTCCATTTGGTAGCTAGGGAGATCACCCATTCCGTAACTGCGCAGGGCCCCATGTTAGTCTAAGTCACAGTCTGTCCGAGTCCGATTTTGATAGGCGCTTGGGGTAGCGGTACTCACATGTTACCTGAAGCTTGGAGAGTAGATGGAGGTGTCAACGCCAACGTCCAGCCTTTGCCACCGAAGCTAGGGCTGGGCACGGAGTTTCTTATACGTCGTCGCTGAGCGCTGAGCAGCGAGCCATGGGTGAGCCGAGCGCTAGCTTGGCAGATAGCCGGTGCGCCGTCCTGGGCGGTCGAAATGTGATTCACTATCGGAAAGTCATTTTCCGCGGGACCAAGTAAGTAGTGCGGGACAGTTGATACATATGTGCAGAATTAGTGGTATACAATGATGAAAACAAATATATCAATGAGTCTCTAAAGCTCTTCGATGTCTATCGTGAAGCCGCACTCATGACAGATCTGTTTGCTGTTACCGTCTGCATCTCGCTCGACCTGGCCAAATACATGCTTATGCTCAGCATCCTTCCGCCTTTGCCAGACAGTCTCTCTGGTTCGACGCCGCAGCTCTCTGAGGCCTTCCTCGAACTTCTTGTTCCGCTTTTTCCTCTTCTCGGTGACCCTTCGTTCATACTCAGCATCCAGTGCCTCTGGAGAGCCCCATTTCTTCCAGGCGAAGTCCTCTACTTGATACCGAAGGAAGAGCATCATGTTTGCGAATGTCGACTTGTGGGGATTGGCTTTGAGCATATGTGGCATAAGTTCTTGGTCGCGCAATTCAGCTGGGAAGAGTCTCAGTCTAGGCACACGCTCAGAATAACTAATAGACGCACGATCTGTGAGAAGATAGTCCTGCATGTGAATGTTAGCAGCAAGCATCTGAATTCATGGATAAAGCGCCATACCTCCTTGCATTCCGTCTTCGTAAGCAGACTGTACTTCTCCGGCTTCTCGTTCTTGCATGTGTTACACACCAAACAGCCGAAGATTTTCTTGAACTGCTGGTCTACATCCATAGAACCGCATTCTTTGCATTTAGGGTTGAGGTTCTTATTCAAGAAGACAGCTAGATACAGTCAGCGGACAGAATAGGTGAGCGAAAGAACAGCAGGACTCACGAGGCTCTGACGCTTGCTGTGCCCTCTGCCGCTCACGCTCTTTCTCCTTTGCTAGTAGTTGCTCATCGACTTCTTTATCGTCCTCGACGAGGAAACCACCCTTCGAGTTCACCATCTTTGATAGGTCATACTCGAAGTACTTTCCCAGACGTGAGTCACGTCTGAGCTTTGCCTCTGCCTTTGGCGCGGTCGGTGAGCCAGAGCTAGCAGGGATGACCTCCAACGGCCGCTTGTTATTTGCATTAGTCGACGACGCAGTTATACTTTGTTCACGCTCCCTTTGTTTTGCCTTGGCTGGCGTGCGATGAGCACAAGCTCGTATGCGGTGTCTGCGCTGCGTACCTCTCAGCCGGTTGATCTCAATCCTCTTGATTTGTTCGGGGGTCAGCTCAAGGTTCGATGGCCCTGCTCTGGGTGGCGGCGTGGAAAGCCTAGTGCTTGACCCGACCTCGAACTCGACCATGGCGGAAGCAAGTGACAGTTCGGTGTGAAGCTTTGTAAGCGCCTTAGCGCGGCGCGTCGCGCTAATTAGGTCGCGTGCACTTCCTCCCACGACTAAGGGTAGTATTATGGAAGGCTCGTCGGAAGCCACACACGAGAGAACAAGCATGAGATAGGTAGTATACAGATTAAGTACGACAAAACACCCGAGAAGAAAAGAAATTAGCTCGGAGGAGCGGATGCAGGAGGGTCCACGGCCATCGCGTGATCTCCCGAGTCCGCCGGTCTACTCTCCTTTGCCTGAGGCTGAGGCTGAGGCCCAGTCGGTTTCACGACAACGGTTTCATCGTCGTCGACATCCATAGAAGATGCCGCAGACGATACAGCTGGAGCAGATGAGACAGGCATCGCCGCGGTGGGCCCAAGACCGTGGGTGGATCCAGTAGTCATGATGCCAACAGCAGCACCAAATCTCCGACCCGTGGTCGGGCCAACGCTGTCCTTCTCTCTGTGGCTGGCGTGGTCGCGACGATCGTCTTCGCCCTCGTCATCAGAATCGGACAGCTCGCCATCGGCCTGTCTTCGTGAGTCGAGGAGGCGTTGAGGTCGTCGCATGTTGGGTGGAATTAGGTCCTCATCTTCATTCGGGTCATCCATTTGGGCATCGAGGGGACCTCGAGGGATATCTAGAACTGGAGTTGGAAAACGTTTCGTCCTGAATGCGGAAGAGACATACCTGACATTTGGACGCTAGGGGGACCGCCGACATGCCGAAGATGGTCAAGAACAATTCCCTTCACTCGGTCCAAGTACCCCCGGGTATTCATGTCCTCCATATTCGATGACTTGACGTCGAGCTGATAGTCGGGCCCAAAGTACTCATAGTACTCATTAATTGGAATATCTGATTTGTCTTTCGTCAGCGTGTGATCGTGTTGTACTCGGATTGTATTGTACCTGAGCCGAGCTCAACGCCGGCAGCGAGGCCAGTCTCGTATGCCCATGCCCTACTGACATTGCGCATTGTGTACCCGCCGCCACCAAGCATGAGCAATGGTTTGCCGAAAGACTTGACGAATTTGACGCAGTCGGCGTGCCCTCGCATGGACACATTGAAGCAACCAAGCTTGTCCCCCGAAAGCGAATCCGTACCGCATTGAAGGACAATGGCACCCGGATCGTAAGTCTCCATGACTTTCTGGATTACCTGCAAGGTATTGGTAAGCGGCTCCACAACGAAGAATGGAAGCAATACAGGTTCGAAGACGCTTTTGTAGTTCTCGTCGGACAGACCATCTCGCAAGGGGAAGTTCAAGGCGTAGTACTTTCCTTTCCCAATGCCTACGTCCTGTATCGACAAACGCCTCAGTTCTCTCCACATGCCATCTTGGCTTAGTTGAACGTACGCGTAGCTCGCCAGTTCCGGGGAAATACTCTCCGTATTTGTGGAAACTAACGGTCATGACTCGGTCAGTAGTGTAGAAAGCTTCCTCTACACCGTCGCCGTGATGAACGTCGATGTCGATGTATAGGACACGGGGATGGTATCTATGTGAACACTCTGAGCATACACAGACCATCATTCCATTGATGTATGCTTACCGAAGCAATTCTAAAATTCCAAGGACAATGTCTGTAACCAAGGTAAGCCACGTGATGACTTGAATAACCGGACAGTATACTACACCATTTACATAGCAAAAGCCACTGGCCTCGCTTTTCTTGGCATGGTGCAAGCCACCAGCCCAATTGATGGCGATATCGCACTTGTCTCTACTTAGCCTTGCGGCACCCTCTGAGGCACAGTAACTGAGCTAGGCACTAAACCTATGTGTGGGAACATACTAACCCATTGATCCGCCAGCAGAGATGGCGCAGTAATCGAAGAGACCATCAAACACGGGACAGTCGTCGCCGACATTGTCTATTCATGAAGTGAGAACAATGTGCAAATGAAGACCGTGACGGGCAACTCACACTTGTGCTGTTCCTTGACGAACGAGTTCATGTTGACAGGAGTTATGCGACTAAGGAAGTCAACATAATCATCGGAGTGAAATTGGGTCATCTCCCTCTTAGTCGCAGGTTTCGCTCGCTAGAATCAGTTAGAATAGTGTGACCCCCGAAACTTTCGGAGGTGCTTACGAATATCTCCATTTTCTTGTAGAGGCCGTAATTCATTACCAGGGAGTGACACATCCGTATACGAGTGGGCTTCATCCTAAGAAGGAAATTAGAACGCGCTCAAAGACACAGCTATTGGCTTACGGATGCCCAGGACCATAGTGGAAGCCACTAACATCCGAATCGAAGAAGTAGCACTACAAACCAGGACGGGTGAGTTGGCACTACGAGGCAGATAACGGCAGGGAAAAATTGCGTACTACGCGCTTCTTCTGCTCGCCCTCGAGAGGGGTCATTTCGCCACCCATGTTGCCCCTGTGAGCGGAGAGAGAAAAGTGCAGCACGCAGCCTAACAATGGCCGTGGGACGACAGGTTGTTTTGGGAAGTAGATCACGGACACAACCGCTTTGGACCACGTGGATATGTTTGGCAAAGGCCTCTGAAAGTAACAAATGACGTCGCCGCCGCTGACCGCCGACTACCACCATGCCCGTCATCGACCTGAATCCTTTCCTGGAGGCGCGGCCCCCGCCATCGTTGGAGCAACAATTAAGAACGGAGGGAATGCGGTACGAGTACAACAAGATACTGGAGTTATCCCTGTTCCTCCACTCCTGCGCACTTTCGTCCATCAGCCGGTAATTGACCTCGAGGCGATAAAAGCTTTCTGCAGGTATGCAGAGGCTCTTCCAGATGAAAGCGCCGAAAAAGCTGCCATCATCACGAATGCTCATCGGATGCGTATGGTTTGTCAAACATTGTCATAAACGTATTCGAGAGCTTCTCCAAACACCCGAACATTGTCCCCGCGGCGTTGCTATCATGGTTTTATGTTGACTGGTACGATGCCTGGCCTTCTGGCCTTTCTGTTGAACATATTCGAACCTTGGAGAAGAAGTATCCAAAGGATCACGGTCCTGTGTTGCATTTGAGTGAGCGGCATTTTCGTTTGTATCGTATATTGGTCACAATATCACGATAGAACCCTCATCGTGGAAGGCCAAATACTCAGTCAAGCACAACGGCAGTACTTATGGTCGCTTTGATCACCTGCACTGTCGAAGGGCGGCCCAATGGATTGTCAAGCTATATAAAAAATAGGCATTGAAGTACGATCCTCTTGCAATCTTCAATCGGCTCCGCTGACATACGTTCACGTAGAATCAATGATTCAGACAGTGAAGATGAGGAAGAAAGTGTTGAACTTGATCTGCTAGCGGATGATCCTGCAGAAGCAGCATCCGTTGTCTCTCTGCAGCCACAGGCAGATGAGCAACAAGGCACTCGGTCGCAGAGCATATCTGGCTCGACACCTACCCGGTCCATCAGAGAAGAGGATACGGGCATTGAGTCCGCAAACAATGTCAACTGTAGCGGTTCTGCTGAAGCTCAAGTCGAGGGAACCGTAGACGAAGAAGGCGTCGTCGAGCCGAAAGCCAAGGAGAAGGTCTGTAGCTTATGGTGATATAACCCTTGGGCTTGATTGCTAATGGGTACTAAACAGTGCAAGGTGTGCGACCACACGTAGACGCTAATCAATGTACCATTGTTGTTCTGCCGTAACAGCGCTCCGGGAATCCCTCTGTCGCCACAACGGTACATCTTCCTCGGTTCATTGTAGAACCTCGCTGATATACGTCAGAGCAAGCGTCCACGCCGCCATCTCGTTCCCTATGCCAAGGGCGCATTGCAGACATAACATGTACGTTGTCATACACAAGCTGTAAATCCCAATAACCTCTCATTCATTTTGAGGTCAAAATCGCTCTGATAAGTGGCTTTCACTTGTTTGCATGGAGCTGGTTTGTCGTTGCATAAGGGCACCCCGGGAATACAGATGACGAAAGAATTGAGGCTCAAACATGTAGAGTAGTGCACGAATGGGACATGGCCGAATCAACATTTTGCCCTCCCCAAAGGTGCTTCGGCGCCTTGATGTACGAGCGTACTCGGGGCAAAGCCAAATGACTCGTCCAGACGAATGCCCTTCGCGGGTGTGTGAGCTGGAAGCGCGAGTGCGATAGAAAAGTAAGCATACCAGCTCTCCGCAGATGACGCGAACCTGTACACTGTTAAGCGAACATTATGTTGTGCACAGGATTTCATGCTTACCATGGACCAGTGATGCACAGCGTGCAATGCGCCAAACCAGAGCTGAGGATGCATTTCATGAGACGTAGTTATCAAAGACAATCTAGCCTGACTCACTTCCCGACCGAACGTGGACTGCATCGTTTGTGGGTATGGTGTCACGGCATTCAGGGTGACCGGTTGGTCCATGTTCACTTTTCGGTACTACCTGCTCCAGCCGGGCGATGCATTCCGTCAGTGCATCATGTGCCGCCCGCCTACTGGTTTCCATAGGTCGATTCCGAGACCTCACGTCGTAGTTGAGGGTATACGGAGGCTGCGACTCCATGGAATCTATGAGGAGCCAAAAGTGATCACGAGCGTGGCGAAGGTGCTTTCCTTGAGAAGGCAGAAAGTGCTAGTTAGTTTCGACATGACATGGAAGTTGCCGCCACGTACCTATTGTAGACCCAGGCATGTATTGAGAGTGAATAGTAAGCTGGTCGTCTGACATGAGGTCATTATCAACCAGGTCCACCGCCTGCTGAAGAACGACTCGCGATACTTCCAACAAGCGTTGCAGGGGAGCGTCTTCAACTGGGCAGGCGGCTCCTGTCGAGTCCAGATGGGCTAGAACGGCGATAGGCATCTTGGGGGATTACTGCAGGGGGTAACAAACTGGTGGACACGAAAGTGGTGGCTTATATGTAAGATGCAATAGAGCTCCAGGCGGACTTGACAGTGACAGTTCGAGTCGGAGTGTGGGATGTGGCAAGGCTTTACTCCAAATAAACGTGATCGGACAGTCGGTGCACGCGTAAGATGCGAGGTAAACATCTTCAGACAGACCCTAAGGCGTATCCTGAAAGCAAGGCAAACCCGGAGTAAATACAGCAGGGCTCGAAGGGGCCATGTACACGAGGATATAACGAGGAAATGATGTCGGTCTGCAAAATTTCCAGCGACATGTAGGACGTTGCAAGACCATAGAGGCCGGAACTCAAAGCGACACACCCCTCTCCCAGAAGTTTTCCACAGCCTTGTTCTCAACATGGCCGGGTGAGAGACTGGAAGAGCACGAGTTTCTCTGCAACCGTCGTCGTCCCTCTGGGTATAAGGAGACAAGAAAACGATAAATTACCTCTTATATTTTTAGTAGGACCAGCTTACATAAGCGAAGTGTCCGGTCTATATCCACTCTCGAACGCGAGCTTTATTTCTTCCTCACTCTCCGAGACAACACATCGGTCGGATAATCGAAATGCTCTCTGCACTGAGAAAAGCTAGCTTGGTCTCTCGCGTATGTTTTCAAGTGCACTTGGATCGCGCGTAGAACGATGACCTCACCTTTCGCGTCGAATTAGGCCTTCTCTGCTGGCCAGAAACGCTTTTTGTCCATTCATGAATACCAATCCGTTCAGCTTTTGAACTCTGTGAATACAGCTCTACGTATCCATATCTAAAGACTTGATTAACGGCACTTTCAGTACAGCATACCCACCCCGAAAGGCATACCCGCAAGGACTGTAGATGAAGCATACAACGCTGCGAAAGAATTGAGTGAGTCTCACCGCCTCGGCGCGTTGTTTCTGCTAATGTTTGTACAGGCAGCACTGGCAGTGTCATAAAAGCTCAAGTTCTCGCTGGCGGTCGTGGAAAGGGGACGTTTGATAATGGTTTACAGGGTGGTGTCCACATTGTCCAGAAGTGCGTAGCAGCTGTCTCGGCAACACTCGGAAACTGACAAAAGCGCGCCCCAGCCCGGAGCAAGCGAAGGAGCTTGCGAGTAAGATGCTCGGTGCAAAGCTGATCACCAAGCAAACTGGTGCTCAAGGCCGCATCTGCAATACTGTGAGTTCCACTGCGGCGTTAGACAACTTTGCTCCGCTGAGCGTGACTTCAGGTTATGCTCGCGGAACGCCGCGACGCGAAGCATGAATACTACGTTGCTATCCTCAACGACCGTGGCGTCGGGGGCCCCGTCCTCGTTGCGTCTGCTCAGGGAGGTATGAATATCGAGGAAGTCGCTGCTAAAGACCCGTCAGCCATCATTACCACCCCCATCGACTTCGACAAGGGTCTCAGCAAGCGAGAGGCTCTCGATATCGCGAAGAAGCTTGGCTTCAAGAGCGAGGGCGCGCAGTCCGAGGCCGCTGACATCTTTATTAACCTCTACAAGGTCTACAAGGATAAGGACGCGACACAGATTGAAATCAACCCTCTTGGTGAGACCGCTGACGGCCATGTTCTTTGGTAAGTCGCTCTTTCAATAACCGAAGGGCGCATATATCTACATGTTTATAGCATGGATGCCAAGTTCGGGTTCGACGATAACGCTGAGTTCCGCCAGAAGGATGTCTTTGCCTTGCGGGATATTACCCAAGAGGAGCCCTCAGAAGTAGAAGCTCAAAAGGCTAACCTCAACTTTATCAAGCTCGATGGTAGCATTGGATGCTTAGTGAATGGTGCTGGTCTCGCTATGGCGACCATGGACGTCTTGGCGCTTCACGGCGGCAACCCCGCCAACTTCCTTGATGTTGGAGGGTAAGCATTCTGGCCCACCTGTCCACTTTCAATCACTGGAGTCGTTCTGCAGAGGTGCTACCCCCGAGACTGTCAAGAAGGCATTCGAGATTCTCAGCGCTGACCCCAAGGTCAAGAGCATCTTCATCAATATCTTCGGCGGCATCATGCGCTGCGATTACATTGCTGAGGGTGTCATCAACGCTGCAAAGGAGCTGAACATGAATATTCCTCTCGTCGTCCGTCTGAAGGGTACCAAAGAGGCTGAAGCCAAGGCGTAGGTTTATTTCTCAGTTCGGGCCTCATCCATCGCTTACGATAATTGCCCGCACAGGATGATCAAAGAGTCCGGTCTTAAGATTGATGCCCACGACAGCCTCGACGAGGCGGCCGAGCAGGCCGTCGCCTTCGCGCAAGCATAATACCCCATGTTGTTAGCTATTTTGCAGACGATTGTATACTGCGCTAGACTAGTTGCAAGCTTCCCTCTCATTCACATCAGATATCGTGAAGCAAAGCGAATTAGCATGGTAAACATGACAACAAGATACAGTGCGACGGGGTATCACAAACATAAATGGCTACAAGCAAATGCAGGGATTCGAAAAGAGCTACAGACGGGCCATCATCTACCACGGCGTCCGTGCGTATGAACTTGGCGTGACGGCATATGCGGAAGGAGGCTGGGGACCAAACGAAGACGGCTGCTGCATCATGCCGTTGTAACTGCCGCGCGAATGCTCAGGTGCTCGACCTTGGGTGGCTGGCCCCGAGTAGGGTGTTCCCGGAGGCGGCATGTGGGGCATAGCTGGCATCATCACCGGGCTAGTGGCGTACATGGGATGATGTGCTGGCTGCGCTTGCGGCGGGACAGGAGACATCATCGACACGCCTGGAGGCCTGTGCTGCACGCTATTGGGTTGCGATGGCCCATTACCCTGTATACCAGGCGGAGGTGGGGCGTACATCGGCATGGCGCCAGGTGGCGGGTAAGGCATGAGCTGCGGGCCATACGGAGAGGCGACGGGGCGCATCATCCCAGGCGGGCCATTCGGCAGCGGTGGCATTGCTACCCACATTGGAGGTGGATAATGAGGCGACGACGCAAGCATAGATCGCGGTACAGGGCTGGTGGCCATGGCAGGCGGGTAAAGTGTCGGGCTTGGCGAACTCATCATCGATGGTGGATAACCAGGGTACGCTCGCATCCCTAAAGGCATTGTATGCGGCGGGGCCTGGCGGGAGGGCTGATGGTTTGTAGAAACGCTGCTCGCCTTAGCCGAAGACGACTGGTTCGCAGAGGAGTTGGGTACTTGCTGGAACGCACGAGCGACGTCTTGAGAGGACATGCGCGATGGAGCATTCACGATTGGCGGCGCCTGGGTGCTAGGTTCGTTTAGCTTTGTTTCAGGTGCTGTGAAAGACACTGCAGCCAGGTCGTTTGCTAGGTCATCCAACAGATTCTGCGAAGGACTCTCCGTCTTGTTAGACTTCGATGACCAAATTGCCTTCACCTGCTCTTGAATAGCATCACTCGATGAGGGTTCTTTGGTGAGATCCCGTGCCGGCGCCCATGGGGAGCTGATCTTCGATGTCTTCGTGGCAGTAACCTGCAAGGCGTACACTTGATCAGACCTATGATAAGGGACTCAGGCCACCACCATCTCTTACCTCCACGTTGCGTTCCGAATATGCCACGAGCGCCGTACTCTCAGCGGACTGAGGTGCGGGTGTGGCCATTACTGCCAACTCCATTCGTGATCTATCTGCGGCAGACAACTCGTCTTCAAGCTCACTGCTGACAATGAACTTGACAGCCGCAGAAGGAGAGGAATTCGCTGTTTCGATACGCGAGTCACGGTAGAATGCGACACCCGAACCGTTGGGGACCTTCGCCGGCGCTTTTGCCTTCGTAGGAGGCACACTAACAGTCGGCGACGAGGCTGAGACTTCTGCCGGGGTGTGCGATGGCTCAGGCGGTGGTGACCGGCTCACAGTGTCAAGCCCATTCACATGCACCGTCTCGTTCGTTTCTTTCCCCTTTAAAGGCAATGGACCAGTTCTACGCCAGGTTGATACTCCATCTGCTTCTCCGCGACGGCCGAAAGCTCCGGACTCAGCGGACTTCGGCGGACAAATTGGTGTCGGTAGGTTAACAATCAAGCCGTTCTCCGTGACTCGCGCTCTGGAAGGCTTTGGCAGAGATATACGGTACTCGGGGCGTCCCTTGACGAAAGATGGCCTCGGAAACAGAAGTTCATTCATGTTGAACGCACGCTTACCACCTTCACGGGGAGGTATCAGCGACAAAATGTCGAGCCTTATGTACTGGCGAGAGTCGAACGCGCGAAGTCGCCGGAAATGGATGGGCTCCCGTATGGAGGAGATCTGTGGCAACTTGACCGCGTAGTGGTTCCAAGCAGGCTTGGGTGACGACGGCGGCTCATAACCAGTGACATCGAACGTCTCATGAGGAAAACCTTCGTCTGGTCCATGTTGTGGAGATTGCTCAGAGGGAGATGAGCGAAGGCGAAGAGCAGGTGGCAACCACTTGTGGTTCGGGGCAGGTTTGTGCATTCCATCGAGTGCGCCTTTGATGCGCGCCATGGTGTCATTCAGAGCAGACATCGGAGCCTCGCGGTACGAGGGTGTCGAAGGCGACTTCAATGCGGCATGGTGTTGCACAGGATGATATTGCCCGTGCTCCCTAGGCTGACGATCCCGCTCCTCGAGATGCAGGTGACCTGGCCTGTGGTACGGTGCAGTCGGATTTGCATGGTACAATGTTGGTGAGATATCGAGCGTAAGTCTCTCTGGCGACCGTTCAAGCTGAGTCGTGAGATGCTCGCGCACAGGCGATACCTTCCTTCTCCAAGGACCCTCGTCGGCCTTTGAGGGCGGTAGTGGTGCCACTTTCGGCGGCGAAGGCTCGGTATCGTAGAAGAAGTCGGCGGCAGAAGGCCTTGTAGGCTTATGAGACGGTAGCAAAGCAGCAGCTTCTGGCTGTGCCTCAGAGACCTCAGGAAATTCAACTCCAATAAGCTTTCCGTGCTCATTGAAGTCGACAACCTCGACGTCACCACCGCCCACATCCACAGAGAACGAGTCGATCTGTTCGAAAAGGGGCAGCGAGGCAGGCGGCGGCGGCTGGGACGGTGGCACCACGGGAGACTGAACGGGCTTTCGCCATGTTTCCGCTTCGGCAGCAGGGGAGAGAGGGGTCACCATAGAAAGACGACGCTCTGAGCCTGGACGCAATGACCCTTTCGAGGACGGCGGTCTGCCGAATAATGTCCTGGGTTGTGCGGGAGGCACTAAAGGGGACATCTCTAGTGGCTTCGACAAATGTGCCTCAGATGACTGTTCTAGTACGACCGACCGAACAGCATCCTCGATGATGGCAACAGCCTACGCGGTTCATCAGCACACGAGTAAGCCTTAAATGAACCACAAGACAAACCTGCGCTTCTACTGCCTTGCTCTGCTCCACCTTCTTCTCTTCTTCAGCTGCCTTCAATTTAGCCTCAATCTCAGCCGCCTTCTTCCGCGCCCTTTCCCTCTCCTTCTCACGCTCCTCTTCCTCCTGCTGGCGACGAAGCCTCGCACGCTCAGCCGCACTGTGCATAGCTTGCTTCCTCGCCTCCTCAAGATCCATGATCGGAGGCTGTAAAGAAGCCTCAGGGACGACAGGAGAGACTGCGACGGCAGAGGCGTGAGAGGCTTGTGGCGACGTCGCAGAGGCAGAAGGGCCGTGGCTAATAGATGACGCCGTAGACAAGCGACGCGATCTTCCAGATGCCGAGGGTGTTCTCCACATATCGGCCGGCGGGTGGGCCCCAGACAGATGAGGCGGAAGCTGCCTCCCGTCCCTAACCTCTTGACCTAAAGACGGTGGCGGCGGGCCCATATTCGAGGACCGGCGTGGACGATCTGGCATTCCTATTGGTGGTGGCATACCGGGAGCATGGTGAAAATCTCTCGAGCGATTGTAGTCTGGCCGACCGCTGAAGGTGCCGTCTCGCTTTGCGAAATCCCGGTCCCGGAAGCGGCTACCATCAGGAGGGCCATGAGACCCTGGGCCATCGCCAAAGATGCGCGAACGCATAGGTGCCTCGTCTACAGGTGGTCCTGTATGTCCATTGTGAGGCTTCTGTAACAATTGTATGCCGGAATGTGGTGGCGCATCCCGACCACCTCTGAACTCCGGAGGAGGACCTGCATCAGATCGGCTACCTCGGCGACCGAAGTAGGAGTCGCGTGGAGGACCAGGGAGCCTGCTGCTGGCATATGAAGAATATGGTTCGAGCCTGTTCGACCTCTCGTTGAATAGCTGTCGTGAGGACTCTTGAGGCGAATGCAAAGACTGTGACGAAGTCGCTGATGGTGATAACAATGGCTGATTATTGCGCTCATGGGCGAACCCATTGCGCGATCTGGGCCAGCTCCGATCGAAGTCATCTGCGAAGCGTTCCTCTTTACTCACAGGCAGATTATGACTTTCTGGCTGTTTCTCCGACAGTCCGCTAGCCTTCTGAATTTCTTCTGGAGGGGGCGACTTCGCCTGAGGAATGGTATACTGACGCCCGTCGTCGAATTCAATGACTTCATCCAAAAAGTTATTGTCGTCACCTTCATCCTAATTGGCACTATGAGCTCATTGGCGGTGAAAAAAATATGAGGAACACGCACCTCGTCCCAGTGATGTACATTTGGCCCCAAGTGCACTCCACGGAAAGCATCTGCTTCTGCCGCCAACACCTGCTTCTGAGCAGCCGCTACTTCTGCTATTTGCTTCTTCTCAACGAGTTTCGTCGATTGCACTGCGTTGACAAGGTTTAGATCTGAGGCCAATTATCTTTGATTGAACTCGAACCTTGGGCTACCTCAGCCGCTGTCGGAAATTCGTTCTGAACACTATCCGGCCGCGGGGCGGATACAACCGTGGTCGGAGTACTCCTCCAAGCTGGCTTGTTAGTCCCATCTTTGCGAAGCACTGCAGGAGAATCTGCTGTACGAGGCTGTGGTTGAATGACTTTGCCTGTTGGCACGGGTAGGGGAGCGCCGTGACCGGTAGCAGGCGTAGTGGCAGGAGTGGGCTTTGCACTTGAACTGACCGCCGGAGTAGCAGCAATCGACGAGCTTGTTGATGACGGGCGTGACCAGCCTGGACCCGTCGTTGATGATCTTGGCGTATCCGCAGTTAATTTCGCAGTGACAAGCTTTGAATGTGAAGGCGTTGTTTGGAGAGCAGGCTTCTCTTCACGTAAAAGATATTTCAGACGCATATGTTGAGTGACAATATGAAGGACGCACGGATGGAGCTCGCGGTCTTGATGGCACTCGACGTGGCTGGTGCATGACTCGTGCTAGCAAGCTGAGAGTTCTTCTCCAGGAACCGCTTGTTAATGTCGACATGCGTGAAACGTTTCGGATGGGGCATGCTGAGAATCGGTGCAGAGGTTGTGCCTGAGCTTCCACGGAGCGGCACTAAACCTGATCCTGGAGACGGCAAGGCGGGTGTAGAACCTCGACTCGACGGCTTGCTTGCCACCGCTGTGGCCTGTCTGGCGTCTGCAGCCTTGCTGGCCGACCCGCCATCATTAACCACCCCCTGCGCTGCATTGGCATCCTCCACCTCCTTCAGATGCTCTGCCGTATCTTGAACTTCAGTTTCGGCCATAGACGCGTCCCCGGACGCTGCGTGCGGACGATGCGTAGTGATGCGCACGACTCGGTCGCGGTGGTCGTTGCGTAAACCGGAATGGTTTGATGCAAACCTGGTATAGGAGGTTAGAGTCAAAAAGAGCGAGATGAGTTTGAGGGGCACGCACCTGAAAGAGTCTCGCAAGTCCGTGAGGACCTGGTGGATAGTCTGCTGTGCTGAAAGTGAGCACCAGCCAATAGGAGACCCATCAGGGTCCCTGTCACGCAGCGCGGTCACTTCGGCCTGTCACGCTTAAGGCCGTCATCGTGGGCTTGCCGCGCACTGGGTTTCTCTGGCCTTGTCTCACTCTGTATCCTGCGATCCAACAGCGCTGGCCAACGCGGCCTTCATCCTGGACGATCCCTTTCACGCTCTCGCCAGACGAGAGATCAACGGGGACCACCCCTCACGATATCCCATGTCTCGCCCTTCAACTAGCCGACAAGGCGACCCTTCCTACGTTACTGGCATGAAGCGGCCCGCCACGTACGATGAGATGAAATACGAAGACCCAAGGTAAGTATGCTGCTGGACGCTCAGAATCCTTGGCACTAACTTTCACTCAGCTATGTCAGCTTGCCCTCAAACGATGCCATGCCATGGTATTACCCTTCCCATGGCACTGATTTCGAGAATGAGGATAACACTGCCAATTATACTGCCGTCGCTGGCAACTGGGGACGGAAGAGGGTCGGCGACGCACGCTGGGTGCGCAAGGGAAAGATGGCAGCGTGGGGGCCTAATTACGAAGAATGGGAAGTGAGTGGACGTCCGTGTCTACCTAGAAGTACACTCATAGTGTCCCGTGGCACAGATAGAAGACCAGGCTAGGAAACGGCTCAAGATTCTACTTCCTACAGAACCAGACCCAGACGCACCCATTACACTTCCGCACCTACGCTCGCCAACACCACCCCTCACATCACCCTATCCCGCCCCAAACACTCAACATCTGACATATACCTCGTTCGTTTTGGATAAAGGTGTTACTCAAGCCTTCCGCTCCAAGATGTTGGACGAACTGGAGGAATCAACAAACAGTATCATTGAGCAGGAAGGGATTCTACGCCGTGCCCTCGGACGTCTGTGGCAAGCTCTCAGCGAAGATCCAGACACACCTGCTGGCGACGCCGATGTCATACCGAAACGCGAAGATGAAGACGTGGAAGGAGACAGCGAGAGAGAGCGTCGACTGGCCCGTGCACCGAATCTCGAGCCTATCACACATAAGCTATTCTTGACTCGCTTCTCTGTCGACGCCAATAACAACTTCGACCCGCCATCTGTGGAGGTACAGACCGAGAACATGGAGAAGTCGCTCTCTCTGCTGCGGGACTTCCAGGATGACGGGCGCGAATACGTCGAACGCTTGGAGGAAATTCGGGACGGAATCGGAGATCTAAGGAAGCAAAGAGACGCAATATGGGACATTGTACGACGGAAAGCTATCAGCGAACTGCGAGAGACAGTGGCATCAAGTGTTCACCCACCGGCTTAGATCGGAGGTTTGGCGCTGCCTATCATCCTCCTTGTGGTTGCCTGCTCTTCTGGATTCTCTTTTGTCGCCTTTCATACTCACTGTCGTTTTCCGCTGCTCTATCGTATGCTCTGTTACTGCTTTTTGTTTGTTGAATATCGATGTTGTCTATATACGATATCCGATTGGCTGAATATTCTCGGGCGTTTGACTGCGCCACCACGTCCACGGAGCGCCACTGCTTGAAAGGCTAAAGCCTACGCAAACCACAAATATTACGACATCTGCTCCTGCTCACTCCCCTGCCGGACCCATACTAGCTACACTTACTGATATTCCCAGCCAATCTCTCGCTTCTTTGCTCTGCACGCTGTCATGAACATACCAGATGTCTCCTCGCTCAGGATCCACGACCCCGGCCCGAATGGACACACACCGCGGGCCCCGAATGGCGTCAACGGGATTCACGAGAAGGAGGACCGTTACATGGAGAAGATGAAAAACTATGTCAAGAGTCTTCCATACGCTGTTGAGCCCAACGAGAAGATGCAGCGTATGCTCGACTTCATCTTGCTACGTCTGATGCAATCCTTGGAGGCGAAAGATTATGACCCTGGTTTGCAACAGTGGGATAGTATGCTGGTGTAGTATGTGACACTCGGTCAACGTCCCGTGCACCAAGAATCTGATGTCTCGCGATACTAGCTGGTGCATGTTGAAGTATCCCATCCCCAAGGAGAAGCGCATTAGGCTCGCAAAGCTGTACTACCACATATGCACTACTCCAGGCATGCCCACGCACATCGTCGCAACATGTTCAGACAACCTGCAAACTCTCACGAGGTCGAAGAGAAAGCTGTCCATCGATGACATGAGATTGCCATGGAAGCCCATCTACAAGATTCTGAGTAAGGACCTGTTCTTGACGAGGCGACAATATGAGATCAGGTAAGCTGTCATGACCTGCGGGTGTAATAGATGAGCTCATGTCCTACTACCTAGTCAAACCTCGTGGTACATGGGATACATAGCCGAAAGTGTACGAAGATTCTTCCATCCTGCAGCTATTGATGAGATGCTCGCCACTTTTGTGCCTATGATAGACGGTACAAGCTTGAGCGTGAGTGGTTGTCGAGCCTACTTAAAATGTATTCTATTCATGCAGCCTACATGCAGAGAACACTCGCTGCGCAATACTATCTACTCACATTCCTCCCGCTCTCACACCCTCAGTCGTATCTTCCCATGCTATTTCGACTCTGGGAGTCTCTGAACTCGTATATGTATGATGAACGTATGCTTCAGTTTTTAGCACGTATTGCCGAGATGCACGTGGATCCCGGTGCTAGCGAACCAAAGCGCATTGAGAACATCCCAGATGACGAAAGATCCGAAGATGAAGGCCGTCCCGAGTGGCCCAAGGATGACCTGGACACGAAGTGGGGCTGGTCTGGCATTTTCAGGGATGTCGGTATATTCAGCGACAGAGAGTGGAACCTCATTATGACGAAGTGTTTGGCATCCATGGGTGAGATTCATCCACTTCACTTCGCTGCGAACGCGTGCTCACTGGTCCATAGAGATTCCGCTCGCCGATGCAGGATCGCTCACGACGGGGCCCAGTGCTGACAACCAGGCGTCGTTCGAGGTCGGCAGGTTACCCAAGCCGGCATGGCGAATCCGTATGTGATGGGTATCCGGCTTGTCACAGGCGGGCGACTGACCCTCCTCCTCAGCATCCCTCGCGCGCATTGTCATATACTCTATGGCTCCGGATGGTGTGCCTGCCCCCGGCTCTCAAGCACCTACTCCAGCTTTCCACACCCCAGCGGCGTCTGGCACGAGCACCCCTCTGCCCCAACAAAACGGCCTGGCGCACGGCGCTCTGGGTGACTACCTGTCCGCGCCGCTCGGCAAGGGCGGCCATCATAAAGTGAAAACATACCTAGCTGGCTCGAAGGCACTGGACTCTCTTGTGAAGTTCATAGCATCCACAGAAGGCTTCTTTCACCCTTCGAATTCAGGGAGCTGGACGAATGACTTGAGTGCTTTCGTGAAGTATATCGTGTTTGACTTCAACAAGCGTACGCACTGTAGAACGATATTTCCCGCAAAATACTAATCTTGTTTCTCTAGGATGGCATGAAGAACGGCAGCCTGATTGCAAGATACCAAAGGTGCAAATTTCAGTTCTTTCACATGACGCTATTTTTCTGACAATTCCACAAAGCACCGACGTTTGACTCGCGATATGCGGCGCGAATTGGTTAAGAGTCTGAGAACTGTCTGTCTGCTTGCGATGTTTTCGCAGGACAGCACAACCGTCGCCAACATCCAAAGCGCCCTGAAGTCGATGAGTGTGATGGAACCCGACCTCATCCTTCATCCTGTTCTAGAGCGAGCGGTACCCGCCCTTGAAGCTCTTGTAGAGGTACGCATAGCATATGAAGTTGTACGTGTGAGCAGATCTAATTTATTGCTCCCAGACTCAGCGCACTATCGCTGTAATTAAGGCCCTCGGGGCCGTCGCGCCAGCCATGGTGTGTCGGCACATCTACTATCCTGGTGCCAAACACCTCCTACCAATACTCGAGCTTCTTTTACCGGGGATTGACTTGGTACGTGACTTCATACAGACGAGTTTGTAACATATCTGACCATCTCTACAGAATGATCCGCTGAAGACGGTACGTTCTATACGTGCCCACTTGTTGTTTCTACTCAACCTGGTTCCAGTTCTGCACCACAGCATTTCTCATCGAAGTCGCGCAATACATCAAGTTCGGCGAGCTGCCAGGGGGCGAGGACTCGCAGCCCATGGACATGGACACGGGCATGACTGTTCCTCAGTCATCCGTGTCACCAGCCAAGCTACCAGAAAAGATTTCATTCGGTGAAGAGGACCGTTATTCTAAGGAAGAGGAGGACGCGCTCGTTGTCGGCATGTCAACAGAGTTTGCTGACTGGATAGCTGCGTTCTTACGACGGGTTATTGTCTTGTTTGAGAACCTGCCTGAGGAAGGTGCGAACGGAACTGCGGGAGGGCCGACCGAAGGTAATTATGTGTTTGAGATCGCTGGCTATATGCGCTGACAACGGCACACAGTTAACCTCGTCGACGCCGTCTGCGGTGCTTTCAGCCAGATCTGCGTACATCTGTCAGATCCGCTCTTTGACATGGTACTCAACATGGTGTTCGATTATGCGAGCAACAACATTCGATCGAACGCTGTCCGCGCAATCCACCAGCTTGTAGAGTGCGTTGCGAACGCGAACCCTGCCAAGACACTTGCAAGGTTCCTGCCGTTCTGCATGCAGAGTATTCGTACTGAGTTGGAGCATGGAGCAAGCTCTGTGAGAACGACGTCGCTCAACTCGACGCCGCTGCCGTCAGACGCAAGCTTGCATTGGAGTAAGCTTGACAATTTGCTCAACTATATAAAGCCGTTGCTAACTTTTTCGGAACAGATCTAGCTATCCTGCGTGGCGCCATGTATAAGTGAGTATAACATTCTCATGCAAATAATACGACACTTAATATCGACATGTAGCGACGGAAAGGCGGTTTGTTTAGTCACTAAAACGTTATGGCCGTGGACTGATGATCACGTTTTGTCTCGAAGGCTCTCAAGTACAAGGCCGAACTGATGAATCTACTCAAGTATCTGCACAAGAAGACGCTGGCGAAACGAGGCTTTTCTTCGACCGGCAAGTTACTGTCAAGCATATTGCTTACGTTGACCCATACGTATCCACTTGAGAATAAATTCGCAAACCTAGATGAGTGGAATAGTGAGGGTGCGCGGCCTGAGATCTATCTTTCAACGTCAGCTTATATTCTGGCATTAGACTTTCAGATGAACCACTACAAATATTGGGGCCGTCTCTATTCTCCAGGCGAGGTCAAGGTGTGTGTGTATACCGCTGCGAGATTCGAGAGCTAATCTTAATGAAGCCCAACTGGCATGTGCCCGACGACACCGAGATCGACTTTGCACTGCAGATTTTCAAGGAGCTTGTCGAGCCTACTATGGCCATCATCGAAACCCTGTTGGAGCCGGGTATGTCCATATTGTCTATCATCATTGTACGTTGCTGAAGAGACTGTAGGAGTTACTCGCGACGCTGTCTGGAGGAACGACTTTTGCAGGCTTGTTTATGCCATTTCATGGTCGAAATAGGTTCTCACCATCACCTCAGGCATATGAGCTTGGTTCGCAACGCCTTCGCTGGTATTCCGACGTTCGTGAAAGAGTTCATCTCTCCCGAAGATGCTCGGTCGGCTCTTGACACTTCGGATATCTTGTAGGCCTCTCCTGCATGTTTTCTCCACTCGTACTCACGGTATTACAGGAACGAGATCCCAGAAATGATAGCCTCTGTCGAGCCGCTCGCTTCGGGCTTCGCCCTTGCAGATCCTGCAGATCCTCGCCACCAATACATGGCTGAGCTGAAAGGGCGCTTCGGAGAGTTGCTCTACAAAGCATCGAAGTCGCTGCGTTCGCAAGGCGAGGAAAATATCCTCGATGCTGTACACATGCTGGTACGTGAGCGTCAGATACAAGAGTCGCTATATGAACTGATTGGCCTATGCGAGTTCAGATTCGCTCGGTACGTACCTATATGCTCGACTACGGCGACAGTAGGGACAAGTAAGTCACACTTGTGCCCATTTGCATAGTGACTAACGTATATTTACCAGCTACTACGTCCAACTCGACCGCTACCTCACTGAGCTGAACATCACTCGTCAATACGCGAACCAGAAGGTGTGGCCCAGAGCTGTCCTTATTCGACGGGCTCGGTACGTTCCCCGAGCCGTTCCAAGGTCATGTCAATCTCATCGACATTTAGTTTGTATCATGCAGCGCGCCTAAGGTGGAATAGTGTCGAACGCAAGCGAGGTCCACTGGAGGATAGCCTCATCGACGAAATTGTCGAATGGTGTCTCTGGAATTATGCGACCGTTAGAGAGTGCGCATCATTCAGTGCATCAGCGAATCATTAACCAACTAGAATCTAGAGCTAGCCAGTCCCTCCTGGACAGCCTTGGCAATGTAAGTCTGCAAGCTCGCTGTATTACTTCACTGAACCCTCACTTCTTGAACAGACGTACGATGGGCTACGTCGTCGCGCTCTTCCCGTACTATATTCTGCTTTGGATCCAAATACCGAGGACGATCGTATGAAAGGTGCTTTGTGGACGCTGAACACCTCTGCATTCGGTACGTTTGTGTCTCTCTGACAAGACAATTGGTGCTGATAGCACGTGTCTACAGCCAAGTATGCGGTAGGCGGTGTGTACATCTTGAAGCTTTTCAGTGCTAGTTTGTTGATGTCACGTAGACCCGACACTTGCCCCTGAGTTCATGAAAAAGCTTTTTGCTTGCCAGCACAACGAGAAGGTGGGTGACTCATGTGGTCTGTATATCGCGATGCAACTCAAGTGTCTTTCAGCCTTCGATCCAAGAATGCGTTAATGCTTTAGCGGAGACTTGTACGTGTTTGTTGCGCATAAAAGAATATATATTGTACTTATCACCTATCTAGCTTTGAGCAGTTTTGTCGAGCCCTGCTTCGTGATCTACGACATCGACAATAAGCATCTGACAAGAGAGATACACAACTTGCGTAGATGCCTTGCGGTGGCGTCTGATGAGAATCTTGTCCGTCGCTGCGCTGCACAACGAGCCAGTCGCGTGGAGCTTTGGAATCAAGGAACCGACCAAACAGTTTGTGACATACTCTTCTTGACAATGGCGGCTGCTAAACATGTCGTGCAGATGGAAGCCATTCTCAAAGTTGCTCAGTCGTCGTCTACCCATTGGAAGTATGCGGTGGTTGCTGTTCGATGCCTACGTACGCTGGTCCGCCGCGACAAGCCCATGAAGACAGCACATATCAAGTACCTCGTGAATGCCACGCTTGATTCCAATTTCAGTATGGTGCGTTCCCAAAGGCGAATGTCGTGAAAATAACACTAACAGACTTTTACTAAATAGCGCTACGTGAGTACCGTTGTTTTTGTCTAGCTTTTGATTGTTGTCTCACATCGTCATGGAAAGTATTCACAACGCGCTGTGATGAAGATTAGCCGCTTAATCAAGCTACGCACCTTTAACGATGGCTCTGAAGATCTCGCCCTTGAAAACACCCGCAATCCCCTCAAACGCAGAGTGCAGGTGCTTCAACCAACGCAAAGTTTCACTGCTCTATTCTTGGATCAGTTCAAGGAGCCGCTTGACGTCGCCAAGGCACGGAAGGAAGCGTAAGTGTTGGAATTCAATGCGACGTAACCGGAGTTGAACTCCTTTATTAGTATCCTGTGCGAGAAACTCTCAAGTGGTTGGTTGGCATGGCGAGACGTGTCCGCTTATCTTGCACCACCCCCTTCATCTTCAGCTTTGCTACCATGGGCAGAGGACTGTCAGGAAGCCTTACAGGCTATACGAGAAGCTGTTGTGCAGCCCAAGTTCTGGCAAAAATTGACGAAACACTACTCGTCAGAGAATCATTCGGAGATTATCGTGCAGGATAACGCCTCCTGTGTTAAGTCCATCTGTACGTATCGGATGCTCAATATTTTTTACTACGATTGACGAGCCTGTTGCAGTCCAACTTCTGGAGGACGAGCCTTTCGAAGCGCTTCGGCCAAGTTTGGAGACCTTGCTGGCCGATAGTGACAAGAACAAGCAACGAGCATCCGCCGAGCTGGTGGCGGGCATCATCGCTGGTCAGTAAGATATGACACGAGAAAGGATAGTCCAAGCTGACTCCTGCGAAAGGCTCGAAGCATTGGTCGACGGAGAAACAGCTTAAGTTCTGGGAGTGGTTCAAGCCCTACATCAATAAGGTCTTCGGTCATACTTCCAACGAAGTAATCTCCATCTGGACTTCATTCCTTGAGGTACAGTTCCCGCTTCTGTATCTCCTCCGAGGCTGACTTGTCGTCTTGTAGTATGTCTTCTCGAACAAGGACCCCCGGAGACTGCAGCCGCTTGTCGACTATCTAGTGGAAGAGTTTACTGCTGTGGACTTCAATGCGGAGTCGACATCGGACGTCGTGAAAGTCCTTAGCTTCTTCCGCGCCTTTTACGAGGAGCTCAACTGGAAGTTCGCTGCCTGGTCTGATGAGACTCTCCGTCGAGTATGGACCGAAATTGCCAGCGAACACGACGATGTGAGTACCTTCCAACAGCACACGGGTCAGTTCTCATCGCACGCACACAGGTTCTCGCGTACATCAGCGAGATGTTAGCCTTCTGTGGAAAGATCATGGTGAGTGCATCTGGAATTCCACATGTTACCCGGCGCTAAGCGTCCTTTCAGCGGCGTCCTAACACGACGGTGCCTACTGTAGAGGCCGTGGTCCTTGAGTCAAGAGTGGCAAACCAAGACGAAGACATCATGGCCATCCGAGGTTTCTATCACGAAGGCCGCGTCTTGGAACTGGCAAAGAAGTTCAAGGCCTGGCGGGAAGAGCGACTGCCTGGTGTCAGAGCGTTTCAGTCAACGTACGATCGTGTCGGCGTCCTGGTCTGCAGGTGGCTCTTCCAGACTATTCATGACACCAATGCAGTCTCGACGTTCGACTATATTCTTCCGTTGATGGTATGTCATTTATGCAAAAGTATATCCAGAGCTATTATTCACTTTCGGCAGCCGGAGCTGTTCAGATTTACGGAGCGTAAGTTCTAATTTATTCTTGAAAGTTTGATGACGCTAAATATGGTTCCTTAGTCAACGACAATGATGACTTGGCAAATCGTGCAAGAGTGTTGCTGAACAGGATGTGTGGTGTGATGCCGCCAAGGCCGCTTATCCACCCAATTTTGGACGCAATCTTCAAGGCCATTCAGACGTCACCTGTAAGCTGTCAACCTTGACGATTGAACGCATGCTCAGAAAACAATCTAGTCATGGCGGGTCCGACTGAAAATTCTGCCGCTTGTTCAAGTGTACTACTTCCGCCACGGACCAACCATCAGCGACATTAAGGCGGTGGAAATGATAGAGGTTAGTTTACTGCTTCCTCATATTCAGACATATACTGACTTTCTCGTTAGGTCATCTGCAGGTGTCTCGATGACGAAGTGGTCGAAGTCCGTGAGATGGCAGCAACCACTCTCACAGGCATTCTGCGCGTATCCCCACGCCGGAGTGTCCTCGTTCTCAAAGACCGCTTCGTTCGCCTGTCGAAGAACAGCCACCTGCCCGACCGCAAATCGCCTGCGTACACTTCCGCCCTCCGTCAGCGGCACGCCGCGATCTTGGGGATATGCGCACTGGTCGAGAGCTATCCGTATACGATCGAGCGCTGGATGCCTGCGCTCCTCACGAGCGTCCTCGCCGAGCACACGTACGACCCAATTCCGATCTCGACAACCGTACGCCGGTGTGCAAGGAACTTCCGCAAGACGCACCAGGACACGTGGCATGAGGACTCGAAAAAGTTCACGGAAGACCAGCTCGCGGCATTGTCGACCTTGCTGACCGGGTCCTCTTACTGTGAGTACCGCTTCTCACTGCTTGAGGGGCGCCCGCTGACGGCTTTATCAGATGCTTAATCTCTCCGCATCTATACGCGAATCTACTCGCTATGTAATCTCGAGCGTACTCTGCCTTCTTGTATCCACATTCCATAATATCGCACTGAAACATGTAATCGCTATCCTCAATCCAGTCCTGATTGTTCTCACCGCTCGTATGCTGTCGATATCTAACAATAGACTGTGCACACCCCAGCATGTACGTGTCACCTGTGGAGCTCATGGCCCAGAACGCCGTTCGGGCCGACAGAAAGGCGTTCTAGAGTCTTGTCACAAGTAGTTGATGAATAGTGCGGCCGTCAGGTAGCTTTGCATTGCAATGGTACCAAATAAATGCGATGGTATTGCTCGAGAAGCGAACAATGCAAATGTGCGTGAAGGTATGCTAGCAACGTTGGACGGATATCACTGTTCCAACAGAGTATCGAGGCCACAGTGGACGAACTTCAGATACAGATCATCTCACCGGCTGACCCCCGCACCCACGTCTCTTGAAGTCGGGCGGCGATCTGGCATAACAACCCCGCAGGAGCCGCCTGTGGCGTGGACGACAACCCCCGCACGTCTCAGCGCAGAGAGCCAGCGACTGGCAGTGATGTACGTCTGTCCTCTCTTGAGCTTCCTGGCGAGTGCGACGAGGACGGACCGCTGAAGCTTAAAGGACGCAAGACGCCCGGGCTGAGCTCTGGATCTTCTGGATCTATGATGCCGAGCCCCGTGTTCGTCGTCTCTACGCCATTGGGCAGACCTTGACGAGCCCCCGCGGATGGGACCTGGTCGATTGGACGCGGTGCGCGTTTCGGCTTGGGGCCAGAGCGTACGCGGTTGTTCGACGTTTCTTCCCTACAGGGAAATCGCGGGATCAGTCATGTCCATGATACACGTAAGTGACGTAACGGCCAGATACGCCGCAGTGCAATATGAATGTTCGTCTCCTGACGAACATTGTTGAGGCTGCACTTGTGTATGTGCTGCACACCGAGACACCGTTCCTGAAGGGCGGAGGCAAAGGGAAGGCGTAAGAATAGCATGCATACCTGATTTCCGCGATCAAGTCATCAATTGCGTACCAGGCTAGACCGCTGTATCCCACAGCACGCCACCAGCCCATGAGGTCGGTAGGGAGAATGTATGCGTGCGCGTGCAGGTGGTCTGTCACGGGGATCTTGCTATCACGGAAGGGTGGTGTGATAAATCCTATTCGGAACGAGCTGTCGTCGAGAGTAGTTTGGTGTGACGTGTCGACGGTCAAAGGGCGTGAGGAGACGGGTGTGACAGGTGTATCAGGCGGATTCTCAGAGTCTGAGGGAATTAGCAGTGAATTCAGTAATCGACGACTAAGATCTCGTATTGTCACGAGTAGAGGGAGGTCGCTGGAAGACTGGAACATGCAAAGATCAGTTGGTTCAGCTCAAGGATAGTGGGCGTATTCGCTACTCACGAGGTTGTACAGAGATGGTACATGAAGACTAGGAGTGAAAGTCAGCCATAGCGCATGATGAAGCGGATGATACACTACCGACCTGAAGACGATGATTATGTGTCCCCTACTCGACACGGGATTTGCACGTTCTCGATATACGGTGAAGTTATCGTCACGGTAGAGTACCTCTGCTACAGAGGAGCCGTGGACCGCAGAGGCCACTATGCCACACATGGGGCATCCCGACTTGGAGGTAAACGCCATCTAGAGTATGCACGGTGTCGGCGGCGGCGACAACGGTGAGGTGAGTGGGTAGTCAAGAGGGAAATGAAAAGAAGAGAAAGGAGCAGTAAGCGGTGGACAAGGCTCCTAGCGGGGAAGGTGTCCATACTTACGGCGTCTGTGTCTTGTGGCTCAGGCCTGTTTAGGCCAAGACCGGGGCCGGAGCAGGCCTCCGGTGTTTACGTTTATGAATTCTCGTTTGCTCTCCGCCCCGCTCTCGCCTCTGCAGACTACCGCATCCATGTCAGATACCGCACCGACGAACATGGGATCACGAGAGGCCATTCTATCGGTGTTCGAGTGTTTCAGAGATGAGCTCGACGATCACAATGATAGGCGAGAACGTCTAATAAAGGTCCGCTGCGCCACCCGCCTGTCCGTCTTCGTCTCAACATCCCGTAGTAGCATGGCCGCGATGTCACGAACCTCTCAAAGAAAGTCATATTCCTTCTGCATCGCATAATGGTGGACGATGCGCCAGACGATCCTGCAGGCGGCGGTGAAGGCACGGGAGACCGTGCTCGTGCTTTGAAGGCCGCATCCAGAGGCCGGGACAAACTCCGCGAGGTTCGGGCCATGTTCGCCAACGTACGACACGAGCTTGTAGGGGACCGTTTCTGGCGGTATCAGCGACAAATATCTCCGGGCCTGCAAGAGTATATTGAGGCTCTCAGCTTCGCGCACTACCTCGAAACCGGGAAGCTCATCAGCTATAAGGAAGTGCAGATATCTCTGTCGGACGACAAGGGAATACCGGTGCGTGTTTGATTTATATGACACAAAGAGTCGCATTGAAATCGTTGATACCCTCGGTGAATACACAGTACTTTCCACTTCCGCTTGAAGATTATCTCCTGGGACTTTCTGATCTTACCGGAGAGCTAATGCGTTATGCTATCTCGGCAATATCGCGTCGTGGAGGACGTACCAAAGCACAAGATGTCTGCATCTTTGTCAGAAACTGCAGGGCAGGCAGGTGTTACCATTTCCCTGAGAGGCACATCAACTGAATACTCCCTTGTGCAGATTTTGAGGGTTGGACCCCTTACTTCAAAGATCTGCGGAAGAAGCAAAACGTCACCTCGCAATCCTTAGAGAAGATCGAAGATGGTGAGCATGTTTTTCCCTCATGGCCGTGAAAATAGTCTGACGGCCTTCTGTTCATAGCAGCATACGCAATCGTGGTCCGCAGCTCGGAATACGACCTATCTCCAGATATGCTGGACGATATTGTCGCCCGCGCAATCTCTTTTCACGGTGTGAGCGGTAACGGACGAGGGAGAGGCCGCGACTACGACGAGGATGGTCCAGACGATTGATACGAATCGGATAAGAAGTCAAGTCTGTTCCGGACAGTGAGAACAAGCATGTACGTGTAATTGTAAACAGCAGGGCTTTTCAAACGGCTGATCCCATCGTAATGCCGACTCTCCGATGAAGGTTTCCAAGACGCGCCGTTGTGAGTCCGGACCCGCTTCTGTTTCTACATCTGCGTCTATCCCATCCTAGTGATGTTCCATCGTGGAGGGTATAGGCTAAATGCGCAGACCCACTCAATGGACGAGATACATGCTGCCTGCACGCGTTCTCATATCACTGGCTTCTGCGTATCTTGCACTCCACAGGGCGCCGTTTGGGTCTTGTTTCCCGACCCTTGAAGCTGTGCGCTTGATGTGCCGATATCTAGCCTTTGCATCAATGTCCTATCGTGCATACAATACGGCCGAAATAGGCTCAGATTTCAAAGAGTCGTGGGATGAGGAGGATGTTAGGCTGTGGATCGGCAACTTACAGACCGCTGAGCGCTTGTGTAAGGCTGCTGTTCCTCTCGCTGGCTCGGCTTTGCGTCTTGCCTCGCTGCATCCACCTGGTCTGCTGTATCCTCGGCTAACGTCCATCGCGAGATTCCATCAAACGTTGCGATATCCACAGATAATCTGGGGATATATAGTTCTAAACCCTCGCTGCTGTTCAGACATCTTACTCCAGACTCCGGTAGTCTGTAACTACTGTACAACTCCCCCGCCTTTACGCCCCTCTCGTCCCCCTCTCATACGTGACGGCCCACCGCCATGTATCCCTCCTTCAACCCCGGTATTGGCTCGTACACCACCATTCATGTACCAGAAATCGGCGACGCACACCTACGCTTCACCGCGTCGTTCCCGTCACGCGAGTCCCTCGAGCAGGCGCGCCGCGAGGACATCCGCGTCGAGATGTGGACCAACATGCCCGTCAACGGCAGCAATGGCGACTGGCACGCGGTGCCCTTCGTCTTCCCTGAGGACGCTAAGGCCGAACAAAGCGCGCCGGACCTCGCGCTCGCGCCGGCTGTCGACGCACCTGCGGTTTCGGACAGGGACATCTACCTCGACATGGTCCTCCCAAACTCGCTATGCGGCTCGCGCTACTCTTTCACGTACCGCCTTGTTCGTTCGTGGGGCCTTGAATGGCTCGGCGGCTGGGGGCATAATGGAGACCTTGTTCTCGAGCGCTACGAGGAGCGGTTTGCTTTGGCGGAGGGCTGTTCTCTTAAGGAAGGTGTTGTCGTTTGCAACTCTGCCGAGAGTGTCCCCGCCATCCAACTGAAGGAGCCGTCGAACTGGACATCGTGGGTGTGGGACGAGGAAGGGTAAGTTATTACAGTGTGTCTACTGCATAGCTCATAACTCACGAACAATCTGCCAGCTGGGCTACATATTCCCCCGAGGCGCTTGCTTCGGCTTCCAAAGCTGTCCTGCTTGTTCCTCGTCTCGCAGAAAACTTCCGCACTCGCGGAATCTCTCAGCCCCTCTTCCTTTATGCTGGCGCGGAGTCTTCGTCCGCAGTCGGCGTCTCTGCGGAGGGCAAAGTGTCAGCTCACAACTCCAGCAGGCTGACGATCCTGGACCCTGGTGCGGTCTCCTTCATTGAGAGTGCCCGGTCGATGCTTCCGGGTCTTGAAATCATAGGCAGAAATGATGGCTACGCTGTCTTCAAATCTCGGGTTGCCGAGGACAGTGCGCCTGCCTCCGTCTCCGTTGTACCTGCGGCATGCGCAGCTATTCGCAAGGGAACTCGACTCACCTACGATGACCTGCTTGCCGTGTGCCCACATATCAGCAAAGAGAGGACCGCCCTTGTCGATTTGGCGCAACCTGCTTTCATCACGGTCTCCACCGATCCCTCCGACCTCTCTGTCGAGATTGGTCCCTATGGAGGGAAATTCGTTCTCTCACCCCTCCATGTCCTCGAACAGGCTAATGAAGAGCTCCCTTGGCACCTCGCAGTACTGTCTCCATCGTCGTTTGCTCGCATCGCGACCGAGACGTCTAAGGAAGAGCTCGCTCGCCTGCTTCCCACTCCCCCGCCGTCTCCTCCGCCGACGTCGGCTTCGCTTACCTCTTCTTCATCCTTCTCCATGAGCGCTTCAAGTGGCATGTCGATCTCCCTGCCATCGATCGCCGAGATCGTCGCGAAGGAAATGGAACCGGCTGCACCGCTCACCCCTTTGTCGCCGCCGCTTCCCTCCGAGGATCCTCTCTACGAATTGTCTGAGGAACAGGCTGAAGACGCTCCCAAAGAGCCCGAGAGCAAGGAAATTGAGAGCAAGGAGTCCGAGAGGCAGGTTACCTTGCCTACCTCGCGTTCCCAGCCTATTCGCGGCGGTCTGCTGCGCCTGCTCTTCGCCTGGCTCTTCCGCTCCGTCATCGCCAGGGTCTTCGGCTTCTTCGCTCCGGTAGCGCGATACTGGGGCATGCCTAGCTATTGGTTCTATATTGCGAAGCCTGAGAAGAAGCAAGAGGCTGTGCGAGACGATGAGCACAAGATCGAGGATAACGTTAACGTCGATCCCACCGTAAACGACGAGGTTGATGCGAAGAGCGACGCTGATGGCGCCCAAGAAGAAGACAAGGATTACCTGAACACTTATGACTCGATCGGCGCCGTTGCATCGCCCTCCGGGACGACTCTGGCAGAGTCAGACGACGAGCTTCCCGAGAAGGAGCACTACACGCCAAGCAAAATCGAGGTCGCTCCGTCGATGGAGACCGTCGTCCACGCACTGGAAGATCGTCCGGCGCCGGTATTCATCTCGCCGCGCGCGTCGCCCAAACCGCGCTTCCTCGCGGACATTGGCAGCAATACCGTCTCGCTCCTCGTTCGCGCGCCTCACGCGCGGCGCGCACTCTCGGACCTCAAAATACACCTTGGCGGCAAGCCGATCGCCGAGGGCGACGCCGGATACAGCTGTGCCCGCGTGTCGGACAATGTCTTCCTCCTCGGCCTGCAGGGCTCCCAGGAGGGTGGCCGGCTTGAGATCGCTGTCGATTGAAGCCATCGGCGCGACTTAGAAGATAGTGACGTCTGTGACGCTCCATCCCCCCGATCCCAAGACAGGGTCTATTTTCCCTTTGTATGTTTGTACGATAGGGCCATTCCACGCCAGGTGGATAACCCATGAACGTTCACGAGTAGACATGTTTATCACGTTTGTATCCAGCACTCTGTAGCAGCTCCCTCCTCCTGTTTCACTCGCGCACTTGTAACATGTATCATGGCGCAATTACCCCCCGCATCCCATCGTCTCTTACATCTTCGTCTTCGGTCTCGCATCCACATTCATCATTTTGGCATCGTCACTGTTCGTTTCCCATTCACGTGTAGTCATGCAAAATACATCTGGGCACCTGTTTCACTAGACTCTCCTTGCCGGCTTGTTCAACCCGCTGGCTCGTTACTGGGATTGATGAGCAGCTGTTCATGCCGAGCCTGCGGAGGAGATGCAGGCGCGGGCGGAGTCTCTGCCTCGCTATATCTTTCAAGCTCGCTTGCTCGTGCAGCGGCTCCAGCTTTCCATCGCCTATGATAAAGCACACTCTAAGCACAAACATTCTAGATAAATAAAGAGCGGAAAGCACGCACTGTTGTCGTTCCTGCCACTCTCGCCATAACTCACCCTCTTCGTCCCAGCCGTCGACGCCATTCTCCGCTAGCGACGCGACAAGCTTCTGCACCATGCTCTCAATCGCAAAGTTGGGTATCATAGGCGCCTGCCTGTTGAGCGGCGTGCGGCAGTAGGGGCATGTAGGTGCGGGCATCTGGAGCGCAGGGGACAAAATAGGTAAGGGGCTCGGGGGCGAGCAGAGGCGTGTAGCACGCACGGTCTTCGCTATCCAGTCCCACCCACAGTTCCCGCAGAAGCTGTGGCCACATGCAGAGCCAATTTGTACACATACACTGTAATGTGGGGTTAACCCAACGAACTCTGCGAAGAGTCGCGCGCGAGGTGCAGCGTACAATAAATCACAGCATCTGACAAGGTCGCGCGTTGAGCAGTCGCGCCCGCCCATCGAACAAGCAGAGGCACGTACATGGGGCACATCAGCTGATCGCCCACATCTGCCAGGACTTTTCGCACGGTCTGGGATGTTGTTTGCTGCGTGGACCTCGAAGGACTCGATGGAAACTTCGATGACCGTGAAGGTGGTTTGGATGAGGGCGACTTGACAGGTAGCTTGGGTGGTAGCTTCGCTTGCTGTTGCGTAGGCGAAGAGATGTTGCGTTTCTTCAATGGTGGAGGAGTGCCTGAGCCTGCGCGGAACCTCTTCAACCGCGTCTCCGGTAGCGAGGGATCGTCTGCAGCGGGGATATTAGCGGAATGCACATGAGACAGCAGGGGCGTCGCACAAGTCGAGCCACTGGCTTCTCCGAGACAGCACAGAGGGGGACGAGACAACCTTCCAGAGGGGTGTGTGACTTGCCCCCTCATGCCGGCTCAAGCCAGACTTACCGTCTCGGTGGTGTCTGGAGATAGGCGTACATGGACGCTCCCGGGGCCCTGGCCTGTCTTCTGCACTAGATCCCCGCTCTAAGATGTCATGTAATCCTTCCGAGACATAGCTTTCGGCTGGGGACGTATTTGTTCCGTCGATGTTCTGCAGCGCGCGAGCCTCTACGGCGTCGATCTCGGCCCACGTCGCATCGTCGAGCTCGTCGAACTCGTATTCAGACGAGGGTGTTGCAGGCTGTGGGTGGCCACAGAGGGCATCGATCTTGTCGAAGTCGATACCGGCGTAGACGTCGGGGAGGGCGTCGAACTCGTCCTCTCCGACGCTGTGGGTCGCGTCTGACATCACGGTTCGGATATAGTTATGGGCGCTTGTGGCACGCGGGATCAAAGTCAAAGAGGAAGATGCCAAAGATAGTAATTGTGCTTCACTACTCTGCTACAAACTACAGCCACTCTACTTGCGCCCGAAGTCGGGGACGTCGCTATCGTCGAGGCCGTCGTCTTCATCATCAAGGCCGTCGCTCGAGACGTTGCCGCCGATGGCGTCGCCAGTGGTGCTGGTGCCGCCGGTACCAGCAATGTTCGAGCCGCCGGTATTGTCGACGTTACCGCCAAAGTTGCCGACGTTGCCGCCGCGGGCGTTGCCAGAGTTTCCAGACGAGGCATTTCCACCCGGGCCTCGGTCGTCACCGTTGCCACCAAGTGCAGTACCAGTTGTAGTGTCACCGCCGTTTCCAGCGAAACCTATGGGCAGCTGTGAGCGGTCGACTCGTTTCATACGGTGCCGCACTCACTCGAATCCGCGTTTGTCACGGTACCATCATCTTCCGCGGTGTTCACGACGTCGCCGCCGTTTACATTTGACGAGTCGCCCGTGTGGGCATCGCCGCCGGCGGTGTTCTGGTCGAACGCACGCTTCGCGACGTCGCCACCAATCGCATCACCGCTAGTAGAAGTGCCGCCGTTGGAGGCCGTGTCTGGAAAACCATCAGAACGACATAAGCATCCATGTTTTTGCTCGACTTACTGGCATCAGTGTTGGTCACGGTTCCGCCTTCGCTAACGATCCTGCCGCCGTTGGATGCCCCAGCGCCACCGGAGCTTGCATTGCCGCCAGGACCACGGTCCTTGCCGCTACCTCCAATCGCGTCGCCACTGAAAGAATCACCGGCGTTGTCCCCACCAAATTCGTCTGAATGGAACGGAACTATTAAAATCAATACAACTTGGATGTGAGTATCCAACTTACTCGACGCCGTGTTCGTGATCTCGCCATCGTCTTCAGCCTCGTTGAAGACCGAGCCGCTCGATGTGTTGCTGGAAGAACCGGAGTGTGCATTACCGCCGGCAGTGTCCGAGTCAATGGCACGCTTCTTGAAAGCGGCATCGCCACCAATTGCATCACCAGTGCCGGAAACGTTTCCAGCACCGGGGACATCTGCGTTTAGGAAAAACAAGAGTCAGGAAGTATTCCGCTGCAGGACCAAGAGCTACTTACTCGATCCATCGGTGCTATCGACACTACCGCCCGAGTTGAACACCGATCCCCCACGAGCTGTGCCAGAGTTGCCTGTGAAGGCGTTTCCTCCTGGTCCAAAACCGCGACCGTTACCACCCGTGGCATCTCCAGAAATACTAGTGTCGGCATCACCGCCGAAGTCTGTCATCAGGTCAGCTCAATGCCATGATGCGATGTAGGAACACACTCACTCGAGTCGTCGTTGGTGATGGTACTGTCGGGGTCGCCAATGTTTGCGACACTACCGCCGTCGGAGCTCTGAGTGTCACCGGTGCGAGCGTTACCACCTGCGGTTTCTGGGTTATCTGCACGCTTGTGATTACTGCCCGTTTGGAGCCCGCCGTTGACGAAGCCCAGCGGATTGGTGTTGGGCAGGGGTGGAACACGCGCCGCATCGAGAGGTACGCTGTGTGGGACATTGGTGACAGCACCCGCGCCGGGGATCGGCGGGGTGGCGGGTGCAGCGGCGATGAGAGTTGGGCTGACGGTGGCGGCGAGAATGCCGAAGGCGATGACGGGACTGCGCATGTTGGGCTGTAGGTCGAAAGAGTGAGTGGCGAATTAGAAGAGAATAAGGTAGAGATGGGGGGAGAAAGAGAGCCTGGGGGATCCGTCGAGCCCGTCTGCCGTCCTTATATACGAGCAAAGACGCGATTCGGAGCCCGCTGCGTCTTCTCGAGCCCTGGGCTGACCATCGGTGTCCAGAATCGGACAAATCGCCGCTTTTGGCAGGCGCACTTCCGAATCCAGCTGGAAGCTCGTGCTTCTCGAGCGCTTTCAGAGCAGCGTCGGGAAAGATACTCGAACACACGAAAGAGAAAGTCCAGGATGCATGCCCGGTCCAATAAATTGGAGGTATCAATAATGTTTACTAGTCCGCCGAAATAATATCCAAGTCAAGCGTCGGGAAGCCGCCGCCATTGCCACCGTTGGCGGAGCTGCCGTTCGCTGAACCACCACCAGTTGCCTTGCCACCATCGCCACCAACAGCAGAGCCGCCGCTGCCCCCGTTGCCACCCTCGCCGCCGTTCACAGAGCCTGAGTCCCGATGTCAGTGCTGAGGTCGTACTATACGTCTCATGAAACAGGCTTACCGCCGTTAGAAATGCCACCGCTACCGCCTTACGCAGACCCATCCTACAAAGATGGGCCGAGGCCCTCATCTCTAGTGAGGCTACCTCCGTTGGCGTTGCCTATCAAACGATGCGTTAGGACTGAAATCGAAAAGCTGAATGATACAAGATACTGACCGTCCTCGGACTCTTAAATGGCAGTGAAGCCGTTCACGGCCCTGCGCTCGCCCGCCTGAGCGTCACCGCCATCGGTACTACCGGCCTCCTCCGAGCCATCGTATTGTAACATTTGTCTGGACACTATATCGAGGGTGAAGCCTCCGTCCTTGCGCTTCACAGTGGAGCCTTCCTTGATGGTGAAGCCGTTCACGGCCCTGCGCTCGCCCGCCTGAGCGCCAGCGCCATCGGTACTACCGCCGTTCTCGAAGCCATCGTATTGTAACATTTGTCTGGACGCTAGATCGAGGGTGAAGCCTTCCTTGATGGTGAAGCCTTCGTAGTCCTTTGGGTCTAGAGGGTCGTTCTTGCGCTCTACGGTGAAGTCTTCGTAGTCCTTGGGGTCGAAAGGGTCGGTCTTGCGCTCTACAGTGAAGTCTTCGTAGTCCTTGGGGTCGAAAGGGTCGGTTTTGCGCTCTAGCTTCTGGGAAAACGGGTCGACGGGTGTCGGAGCCGCGAGAGTACCGACGGTAGCGGCGAGAATGAAAAGAGCGATGAATGAGCTACGCATTTAGACGAAGGGCAGCGGTGAGTGATAAAGATATCAACGAGAGCGAAGGAGGTTGAGAGACAAGCTCGATGAGCAGGAAAGGACAGATGCTAGAGTGAGGAATAACAGGAGTTATCGAGCTCATATTTATAGCGACGACAAAGAGCTTGAGATCATCTGCTGTGTCGCCCAAGTCTACCGAAAAACGCGCGACTGGACATTACCCGTGCTGACACCGATTGTCAGAGACAGATACAGTATCGCGGATGGAGCCACACAGTTAGCGTACAGCTTTCGCATCCGTGGTGCGGCCCCAATTCTGAGACATGGGCCGACGCGTGAGCTGTATCAGAACGTTGAACTCACACGCGCGCGGAGTCGAGATGACAACAAATGATGTTTAACAATTCGGCGGCGCCCACCTACACTACGGGCATGAGCTGATTTCAGATCACCTGAAATGTCCCGGTCAAGCCATCAGAACTGTATCATTTTCGAAGCCGTGGCTTTCTGGCGTCCCAAAATGATAGATTTGCTACCACTTTTGTAGCCATTTGCGGTGCGGGAAAATGATTAATCGAGTTTAAACGACGGCGCGACGTTTTTTACGAGCATTGGCTGGCCTGACGACCGCATCCAGGCACTCGGTCGCTGGTCCTCGGATGCTTTCCGGATATATATCCGGTCCCATCCAGTTCTCATGTTGCCGCACACCCATGTATGGCATTTGTCCCGCTCGCTGCGGAATCGAATTATGCCGTCGTCGCCTCGCGACGGCGGCCGTTTATGCGGTATTCTCATGGCCCTGTTATCACCCTGAGCCTTTGTCTCGAAAATTCGCACCTCAGCGGAGGAGCTGATTCGAGGAAGTTTACACAAGTCGAATGAGCGACCGCGCGCACGCGGACTCGAAGCGCTCTTCGTCGCCGCCCAGAGGCCCGCGGCCCCCGTTCCCCTGCTCGCAGCAGGATGAGTCCAACAGCGGACGAACACGGACCTGCTCAGGAGTGTTAAGTACGTCATCGATGCTTTGTCAGCAGTGGGCGTACCTAACTGGGATTCTCCTGACCGCAGATGGTGCAGCCGCGAGGGACAGGGGCCGCACGCCTCGTCCCGTCTGACCTCCATCTGCGTTAGGTTCGTGCTAGCATTCTGACCTCCATCTGCGTTAGACTTCGAGTCCTTTATTTGCGCTTTCCCTCCCGTCCCGCCCGGTTTTCTTGTTGTATTGTGTCATTGTTTTGGACAGTCTACCTTTCTTGCCGGTCTCAGTGCATTTGTCTGCGGTATTGCTGGTCGCGTTCGGTCTCGTACACGTTTCATGTAGTTAACCAGGCGCCATACACGGAAAGCGTCCCGCTCGGTGCGGGAAAATGATAAATTTCGTGCAGCCTGAAATGCACCACAAAGTCTCCTGAAACATCAACAAATTCTAAGAGCTCTTCAACCCAAGTACTGTAAGAACAGAGGTATGATAGGGCATGGGATTGTACCGGTTTTGGGCCTCTTCCATCATGACTACACCTACTAAAGCCACAACAAGTGCAGCAGCATGGCGACGCTGCTCTTCCGTGAGAAGGAAGGCCATGAAGAGCAGTGCAAACACGGTGAGCAAGTGGTATTGCGGCAGCAAGTCAATAGATAAGGATTTGATTAACAGGGTTATCTATTATCAACTAACTTCTACATTTGGATGTCACGCTAGGGGGGGATGGTGGCTGAAGCGCGCATTGCCCGCCAGCGGGCAATCCACCGTGGGCTTGCTGATCAGGGCCTAACGGACAGGATGAGGGCCCTGTGACGTGTGACATCCGCTACGGTCGTAAAACTACAGTATAATGGGAGTCCAAACTTGTTGAATTGGGATGCGGGACAGATCGCAATGTACAGCCAACTTGGGACAGGACGACAAGCGAGTTATCCGACACGACCAGTCAGACGATCCCAACCCAACGAAGTTCGACGCGACTGACAGGCAAGCACGTGGGCGTCTGACAGGTTTCTCAAGTCGCCCCAAATAGCTCAGCTTATCTCTCTTAGCACGACGTGTTTCCCCGTGGCTCTGAGCGGCGCGGGTTTTCACTGGGATATGCATGCCCGGTCCAATAAATTACAGGTATCAATGATGTTTACTAGTCCGCCGAAATAATATCCAAGTCAAGCGTCGGGAAGCCGCCGCCATTGCCACCATTGGCGGAGCTGCCGTTCGCACCACCAGCTGCCTTGCCACCATCGCCACCAACAGCAGAGCCGCCGCTGCCCCCGTTGCCACCCTCGCCGCCGTTCACAGAGCCTGAGTCCCGATGTCAGTGCTGAGGTCGTACTATACGTCTCATGAAACAGGCTTACCGCCGTTAGAAATGCCACCGCTACCGCCTTACGCAGACCCATCCTACAAAGATGGGCCGAGGCCCTCATCTCTAGTGAGGCTACCTCCGTTGGCGTTGCCTATCAAACGATGCGTTAGGACTGAAATCGAAAAGCTGAATGATACAAGATACTGACCGTCCTCGGACTCTTAAATGGCAGTGAAGCCGTTCACGGCCCTGCGCTCTACAGTGAAGTCTTCGTAGTCCTTGGGGTCGAAAGGGTCAGTCTTGCGCTCTACAGCGAAGTCTTCGTAGTCCTTGGGCTCTAGAGGGTCGTTCTTGCGCCGTATAACGGTGCCTATGCGGAAATTTGGATTGGGAAACGGGCCGACTCGGGGGGGCGGA